GGGTAGTGGATGTGCTTATCTCTGCTGGGGTGTCATTGCTTCCAGGCCTTTTCAGCGAGCAGATAGACTTTAAATCATGACTTCTTGCTCACACTTCCAATTAAAGTTTGAGCATCTTGGGGCTCCATTCCATGTTTGCACCTCCATTCTCCCATGGTAAAGATCCTGTTTCCCAAAGAATCATCAGTATATTTACTACAACATACACAATAGCTTCAGAATGATTACTGCGCCCCCCATAACACTACCAATAACAAACTCCTGAAGCTCAAAGCTTCTCCGCAAAAGTTGTCCTCAGACTGTAGCCCATCAATGTATACAGATAGAGTGTTAATTTTTCTGCATAGTTGCAGAAGCAGTTTTGCAAGCAGGCAGGTTCATCTGTTTCTGTCGGGCAGCCGGCCCTTCCTATCCTTGGGTTCCCCTTCCGCGCATCCAACCAACAGCAGGCGGAGCAGCCCAGCCCTGTAGCTCTCCACCTGGAACGTGCTGTGGTTGCGCATCCCTTCTCTAGTTCACGGGTCTTTAGGTAGTTTCCAGCGTTTCGCTGTTACCGAGAATCTACAGTGAGTAACTTTGCCCAAGTATTGTTTCCTGTTTATGGAGCAGAATCTTCTAGGTGAATTCTAGAACTGGAGATTTGTTTCTGAAAAATCAGCCTCTGCATCCAGAAAAGTGAATTCAGACTTGGAGGCAGAATTTTGAGAGCAAAGAAAAGAGCAGCTTTATTGCTTTGCCCGGCAAAGAGGAGTCACCGTGGGCTAACGTCTTAGAGACCGTGAATCCATCCTGGGGTTGGGGCTTGGTGGCTGTATGGGCAGGCGGGACGAAGCACATCAGTGATAATGAACAACAGTCTTTTACAAAAGTTTATCTTGTGTCCCGGGGACTTCTGGTGGTCTGTCAAGTAGGTTGCTGCCATGGCTTTGGCGTTATCTGGTCTGATCCCTCCAGGGTCACGGAGGCGCTGGAGGATCTGGCCATTCCTTCAGGGTTATCCTTCTGTGACCTTCTTTCTGGAAAATAACTGCTGGGTTTAGGTACAAGTTATTTAGGGTAGGGTGTAAACATGGGGTTGGGGTTGCTAAGCACGTAATCATTCAAGCAAATTCAACAATAGCAGGAGCAAGGGGAAACACAGGTCAGTCAGTTAGAAGGAACTCCAAGTTAATCCATCGCAGTAAACTCTGTAAGCTGTCTTAGCACCAGGGAAGCCTTTTTGTGACTTCAGATTTGAGGAGGAAAGAGTTCATGCATATGTGATTTTGTTAAGGGCTTCAATCCATCACTCCTGGGCGTGTGCCCATCTGCACCGCTACTGTGAGGCGTGGCAGCTTTCTCCAGCCTTGCTGACGAAGTATGCTTTAAAAGTTCTGGCAAGCTGAGGCAACTATGTTCAATATCTTGTAGTAAGCTGTAATGAAAAAGAACATGAAAAGGAATATAGGTATGTGTATGTATGACTGAAACATTATGCTGGACACCAGAAATTGACACAACATTGTAAACTGACTCTTTCAATTGAAAAAAAATTCTGCCAATCCAATAAGGGAAGAAATGGAATCTTGGTGTGGTTTCAGTTGCTTTCCATTTTTCACTTAGACCTTGTGATACGTCATCATTTTTTAAATAGATTCTTGCTGGATTTAGTTTTCTATTTTTCAAAAAGATGTTCACATCTATAGTCGTGAGAAAGATTGGCCTTTATTTTCCTTTCTCGCACAATCATTTTTAAGTTTTCGTATCAGGATTATGTTCAGCTCATAAAATAGGTTGAGGAATGCTCCTTCTTTTTTTTATTTAATGGAAGAGTTTGTATATAACTGGCGTTATGTTTTCTTTAAATGTTTAGTGGCGGCGGGTATAGCTCAGTGGCAGAGCACTTGCTTAGTGTGCTGGAGGTCCTGGGTTCTAGCCTAGTACCTCCATTAAAACTGAAAAAAAAGCTTAGTGGAAGTTTTGTGTGTGTCTGTGTTTTAACGGAAGTATAGTCAGTTACAACGTGTCAGTTTCTCGAGTTCTTCTGGAACTCCTCTGTCCTCTGTATGTTAGTTGTTTCTTTTGTTAAAAAACTATTTTCTAAAAATTTCTGCATCGCATACTGGGTGATTCCTCATAACTATTTTCTGAGTTACTAATTCTCTTTGTGTTCAGTCTTGATATTTATTTATTTAATTTTTATTGCAGTGTGGTTACACCTGATTTTAGCCAAAAGGCTGAGAAGCGATATTGAAGCATAGTTTATTTACAATGTGTTAGGTTCAGGAATATAGCAAAGTGAGTCAGACATATATATATATATATTTTTCAGATTCTTATATAGTTTATTACAAGATATTGAATATTGTTCTGTGTGCTATACATTAGGTCCTTATTGTTTATCTACTTTATATATAGTAGTGTGTATCTGTTAATCCAAAACTCCTAATTTATCCCTCCCCTCCCTTTTCCCTTTGGTAACCATAAGTTTATTTTCTATGTCTGTGAGTCTGTTTCTTTTTTGTAAATAAGTTTATTTGTGTAATTTTTTTAGACGCCACATAGAAGTTATATCATATGATATTTGTCTTTGTCTGACTTACTTCACTTAATATGATCATCTCTAGGTCCATCCGTGTTGGTGCAAATGGCATTATTTCATTCTTTTTTATGGCCAAGTAGTATTCCACTGTATAAATAGACCACATCTTCTTTACCGAGTTGTCTGTCAATGGACACTTAGGTTGCTTCCACGCCTTGCCTATTGTAAACAATGCTGCTATGAACATTGGGGTGCATGTATCTTTTTGAGTTAGAGATTTCTCTGGATACATTTCCAGTACTGGGATTGCTGGATTGTATAGTAAGTCTATTTTCAGTGTTTTAAGGAAACTCCATACTGTCCTCTTTAGTGGCTGCACCAATTTACATTCCACTAGCAGTGTAGGAGGGATCCCTTTTCTCCACACCCTCTCCAGCACTTATTATTTGTATACTTTTTAATGATGGCCATTCTGACTGGTGTGAGATGATCCTTCATTATAGTTTTGATTTGCATTTTTCTAATAATTAGTGATGTTGGAAGCATCTTTTCATGTGCCTATTAGCCATCTGTATTTATTCTTTAGAGAATGTCTGTTTAGGTCTTCTGCCCATTTTTTAAACTGGGTTGTTTTTTAATTTTTTTTTATTAAGCTCTATGAGCTGTTTGTGTATCTTGGAAATCAGTCTCTTGTTGGTTTCATCATTTGCAAATGTTTTCTCCCCTTCTGTAGGTTGTCTTTTCATTTGGCTTGTGGTTTCCTTTGCTGTGCAAAAGCTTGTAAGTTTAATTAGGTCCCATTTGTTTATTTTTGCTTTTATTTCCATTACTCCAGAGGACAGATCCAAAAAACTACTGCTGTGATTTATGTCAGAGGGTGTTCTGCCTATGTTTCCTCTAGGAGTTTAGAGTATCTGCTCTTACACTTAGGTCTTTTATTCATTGAGTTTATTTTTGAATCTGGTGTTAGGGAATGTTCAGATACCATCCTTTTACAGGTAGCTGTCCAGTTTTCCCAGCTTCACTTATTGAAGAGACTGTCTTTTCTTCTTGGTGTGTTCTCACCTCCTTTGTTATGGACTAATTGACCGTAAGTGCATGGGTTTGTTTCTGGGCTTTCTATCCTGTTTGTTCAGTCTTGATTATATTCTGTTAGTATTTAAATTTTTAATGCCTGTATTTTTAATTTTCAAATATTCTAACTGGTTTTTTTTCATATCTATAAATTCTTGTTTCATTCTGTCTGCTTTTATTTTATAGTATCTTGGTTTTTTAAAAATGGAAAGTTTTTTTTTTTAGCATCCTAAGCATATTTATTTGATGAGGAGGAGGACAATGATGGTGACAATGATTATCATCATTATTTTATTAAAGTCTTTGAGAGACTGTTTTATAAAATTAGTCTCCTTTGGAGTAATTTCACGTTCCAGCTGTTGGTTTTGCTGGCTGTCTTTCATAGCATTTAGGTTTCTCCATGTCTTTGGGAATTTGGGTTTGTTCACTTTAAGTGGCATCTCTCTGCTTCCCTCCCCCCCTCCCCCTTGGATACACTTCCTTTCTGGCTGTTTTCTGTTGTTGTTGTTACCTCACCTGTACCCCTTCCCCTGACCCAGTGTCCAGAACCTGATCTTAAAATGGCCATGGAGGGGTCCTCTCCTCTAGAGACAGGGGGATGCTGGGATGCTGTGGGTCCAGGTGGAGTGTCTGCAGTTTCTAACTGGAAATCGTCGTTGTTGTCGTCGTCATCCAAACATACCAAGTTCTTGCTCTGTGCCAGGCACGTCCTGCCTCTGGGATGTCACACGCCTCCCCTGACGGCTCTGCTACGGCCGTTACTCCTGCTCTTGCTGCTGCTGCTCGCGCAGTGGTCACCGTTTGCAAATGAGTAAAATGAGGCCTGTTGGATGATGTCTTTAGGGTGAATCAGAATATTTAAATAAATAAATAAGCTATCCTTGATGTTAGGAGATGAGCTGAGCCCAGACTAAATCAGTTTTGTTGGTTTTCTTCTGTCACTATTAACCAAGACTATGGGTATACGTGCCTGGAATGTAAGTTACAGTTTATAGCAATCAATTTTTTGTAATGTTGTGGATAAGCACTGTCCCCACCCCTCCCAACTCTGTCCAGCTCTCACCCAGAGAAGATACTTTACAATCTCCGGGGAAAAGATGTGATCTAAAGGGCAGGATGGGGTCCTGAAAGTTGGTTTCTAGTAGGGTATATCTTATCTCTTTTGATTCTCATGTTACTTTGAATTATGCTTAGTTTACACATGAAGAAACAGAATGCCCAGCAGGGAAGTGAATTGCCTGGGGATAAGGTGTTAGTGAGGGGTGGAGTCAGGAGCCGTGCTGGTGTCTTGGATTCTTAATTGCTCTTTGCACGCTTTCATGGTACCGTGATGCCCTCTGAGGGAACAACCACCTCCAGCGGGAGAGACAGCCCCCACGCATCTCTCTCTCTGTTCCTCGCAGAGATGTTTGTAGTTACAGCGGCTTCCTCGGAGACCAGGGAACGGGACCTGGAATGTGATGTCTCAGGAGAGACCGTCAGGAACTTCATGGAGGCACTCCAAGCTGCTGGGCAGGTGAGGAAATCTCAGACATCCTCCTGGCTTCCAGCCAGCGTAGGACCACCTCCATCAGGTAGCTGGTTGGGCGCACACGCAGGGTACTAGGAGAGCAGGGAGAGTTTCCAGTCCGCAGAGCACTCCTTGGTCCAGTCCACGCACAGCTCCTGGTCTGGTTCCCACGTGCCTGGTCTGACCCACACCTTCTCCACCCACCCCTACCCCTGGTCCAGCTTTAATCCTCGCCCCAGGTTGACTCCTCCTCTTCCTTTCTCTGCCAGGGACCATTTTCTCCTTATTACCCCCTCTTCAGCCTTCCTTTCTTTCTGAGCCCCCTCTCTCTTGTAGCTGTCAGCAGATAATATCTTACAAACCCTCAAGTTGCTGGAAGTCAAAGTCCTGAATAACAGGATGACAACTTCATCACGCCAGAAGGTGACCGACACCCTTGTGGACTACCTGCGGGCAGTGGTGAGGAGCTTGTGCCTCTGGCTGGGGGCGGTGGGGAAGGAATGGATCCCAGGTCTGCGCCCTGGAGTTCCTCTCTGGTGGGTGATGATATTTAGAAACTAAATGGGACCTGCCTGGGATATGAGGACCTCAAGTGTCTAAATAGTTCGCTGGAGCCCATCCATATCTTACACCCTGAGCGTGTCTCAAGAACTGTGACGTAGACAGAATGGAAGATTCAGGGATGGAGTGAAGTTGGGAAAAGTGAGATGGAGAGTAGGGAAGGATTGGGACCATTGGCCTGGAAGCCTCCCTGGTCCTCAGACTGTCCAGACCCTCCCCCTGGAGTGTTTTAGGCATTCACCTTTGTTACTGCAACTCAGCTAATCATCTCAATATACTTGCTGATCATTTCTTATCCACCCACCTGTCTGCTAGTCCACCTTTAGACTGACCACTCATGACACCTACCTACCTGTCTATCCACATGCTTTTGCACTCACCCTCCTGACACTGGGCTAATCTGGTGTCTTGCTTTCCTGGTTAACTACCTACCTATGAGGTGTCTTCCTCCCAGTTTCCCTGCCGTCCTGGCACACCTGTCTCCTGGTCAAGACCCCGGGTCTACCTGAGACTTTCCAAAGTTGCTTCTACAATCTACCCACTTTCCTGGTGGTTCACTGACTGCTGCAGGGGAAGCCCTGTACTCTGGGAGCCCTATTGCCACTTCCACAGCAACACTCAATCCGATGACTTCACAGACGCCCTGTCGTCCTGTCCTCTTGCACACTCTGGGAAGCTCTTGCCCACCACTGCTGGGCAGGCGTGTGTCGGATGGGTGGTAGGATGACGGAGGGGAGTTCCTGCCCGCAAGGTGGAAGAGAACCGCTCCTGGAGGGAAGCCGGGGGACTCCCCTTGACGATCCTGCTTGGAACAGTTAGTGTTTCTTTTTCCAGAAACCAGAAGGAGAACTGGAGGAGATGTGTGTTTCAGTATTAATGGCCCTGGGGTCCCAGTCTCCAGAAATGGTCATCGTCAAACTGTGGGACAGACTGCGTCTGCACGACCTGCCCCCGAGGAGCCTCCTGGTCACAGTGGGGAAGCTGAGCCTTGGCCAGGGTGCGAATCCCGGGTGGGGGGAGTTGGGGGAGTAGAGGGTGCAACCCAGGACCCTGTGGGCTGGTGGGAACTCAGACCAGAAGCGGCACAGGAGGGCGTGTTAGGGCTGGGAGACTGGGGGGCTGCAAGGAAGACGTAGGGGCCAAGCTGGGGAGAGAAGGCATCATGGAAAGTCCCCATTCGGCAGCGGAGGGGAGGGCTGAGGGGGAAGCGAGGAGTCCTGTGCTCAGGGGAACCTGCAGCTTTGGATTTGATTCGCGGTTGGAAGGTAACCGTGTAGCAGGGTGAGGCAGAGAATCACCATATAATCTCCATCCTGCTGGCTACTGGTGACAGCAGTGAAGTGGCCCTGTTACCCATTCCACTCCCCTCCTTCAGTCACAAAGTGTGAAAAAAAATCGATTCACCAGGAAGATGACAGCACCTGCCTTCTCTTTCCCACTCGGAGCTGGGGCCACAGGAAGGCCAGGGGGCAGGCAGCTGGCCTTCTGGAAATCAGGTTCAAAGTGACAAGGTGTGTATTGGGGCCACACAGAAGGCTCGGAGGACATGGTGACAGATACTGGAAGTGTCTCCTAATAGTATCATGTGACCTCTGACAACACAGCTGGAAGAGTGTGTGTTTGTGTGTGTGTGTGTGGTGTGTATAGTGTGTATGGTGTATGTGTGTGTGGTATGTGCGTATAGTGTATGTGTGTGTATGTATGTAGGGTGTGTGTGTGGTGTGTGTATAGTGTGTGTGGTGTATGTGTGTGTGCGTGTGTGTGCGTGTGTGTATAGTGTATGTGTGTGTAGTGTGTGTGGTGTATGTGTATGTATGTAGGGTGTGTGTGTGGTGTGTATATAGTGTGTGTGGTGTATGTGTGTGGTGTACACGTGTGCGTGTCTGTGGTGTGTGCGTATAGTGTATGTGTGTGTGGTGTGTGTATATGTATGTAGGGTGTGTGTGTATGTATGTAGGGTGTGTGTGTAGTGTGTGTGTGGTGTGTGTATAGTGTATGTGGTGTATGTGCGTGTGTGTGTGTGGTGTGTACGTATAGTGTATGTGTGTGTATGTATGTAGGGTGTGTGTGTAGTGTGTGTGTGGTGTGTGTATAGTGTGTGTGTTGTATGCGTGTGTGTGGTGTGTGCGTATGCTGGCTGTGGCGACACCCCGCACCTGTGCGCTGTGCTGACGTCCGGTTTCGAGCTTCCTCTTCCCAGCAGCCCGGTGAGGAAGCCACATCAGGAAGTGCTGTCCTGCGTAGCAGCCAAGGAAGCTGAAACTCAGATAAATTAAGTCGCTCCGGGTTGCCCAGATGCTCTGAAGGCAGAGCGAGGATCAGAACCCAGGCCTCCTGGCTCCTAGCCAATAAGGTTTCCTCCTCCACAAGGCTTGGAGGGGCCCCTCCTGTGGCTAGGTATGTCATTCTTGTCCTTCCCCTCCCAGGTGTGGCCCCCTACCTTGGTGCCACGTGGGAGCACATCCTGTGCTTTCTGAGGATGGCCCAAGAGGAGGATGACGTGTTGGCGATCTGTCGAGGTGAGGGTGGGGAGGGTCTCTCTTAGAAGTGGGGCGTGGGGAAGAAGGGCAGGACGAGCCTGGGCCCCTCTGCATGTGGATCCCAGAGGGCTGGGGAAGGGGCAGGAGGTGGCCAAGAGCAGGCCAGGTGTGAGCACATGCTCTTTCCCATCTGACTTGGCCTGGTTTGGACCAAGCTTGATAGGGATGCGGTGGGTGTTGACAGCCTGGACCGCTTTCCCTGCCCTTGCTGGCTGGACTGGGTGTGGTCATTAAGGACAGACGGTTAGGGAGGTGGTGAGCGGGTGGTCTTTCCCAGCGCAGGACTCTGGGCCCTCTGAGGGCGGTGATGGAAGGGCTGGGCCCACATGCGCGTATGTTTCCCTTTGTGGGTCCTGCTCCCTCACAGCTCTCAGTGGATTGGTCATCAGTGCCCGGAAGCATCTGGATCTGGGCTCTACAGATGATGAAGTGATGGACATCACCCCAGAGGCAGTGTCCATCAAGGCCTACCACACCCTCCGCATTCTCTTCAACCATTGGTCTCTGAAGAACAAGAACAAGGTGGGGTGGGAGTAGCAGGGGCTGGGTGGATGCGCTAAAGGAGTGAGGCTTGAGCCAAAGGCAGGCCTGGCAGGGTACCTGGCTCTAGGTTGCCCTGACTCTGGAGACAGAGTGAGGATCAGCACCGTCCACTCGCTCGTGGTAGGCTGACCCCGGGCTCTTCTAGGAGTTTATGTTTACAGATGACCCGCACTGGCAGGCACGTTGCTAGGCTCTGGGATGCAGAGAAGGGTGAGGCTAAGTCCTTGAGCGCTTGTCCTACCTTCACCCATGAGCGGAGGCAAGTTCGTGGTGTCTCCTTGGGCGCAGGTGACTGAGCAAGTCCTGGTGATAGCTGGCCACCTCTTCTTCCTCATGCCACCGTCCAAACTCAAGAACCAAGTGAACCAGTTGATCCAGTGGCTAATGACTTTGATAACTACAGGAGTGACGCCTTTCTACATTTCCCAGGTGACTGGGGTAGGAGCGAGAAGGAAGTTTAACTAGTTCACGCTTTCCATATTTATTGAGCAGTCAGTGCTGGAGTTGGCAAATTATGGGCCGCATGCCAAATCCAGCCTGAAGGCTTGCTTTGGTAAAGAAGGTTTTAGTGGAACTCAGCCATGCCCATTTGTTGAATCCATCTCAAGCTTTGACCCACTCTCACTCTCCTGTCGCTGACCTCTAGACTCATATTTAAAGGGCTCATCAGCTTTGATCAAGCCCGTGTGGATAACCTTCCCACTTCAAGGTCAGATACTGTGGGACCCTAATTACATTGCATCAACACCTGGCTGAGTGCTTGACTGAATAACTGGGAGGTGGTGTGTGCACCCCAGGGGCCTGGAAATCTGGGGGCCAGCTCAGAATTCTGCCTACCATTGCAATGTTACACCAGTGTTAGGTGTTTTTCTGAGCAGAGGACCCAGAGTCAGAATCCAACCTTTTCTGATTGCTGTTTCAGTTCTCCATCCATTTTGATGGCGTTTCTCAAACGATGTTTCCCCGACTTTTAATGAGTGTTTCATAAAAAATGAAGGTGTGTTATTTAGTAAAATGTGTGGGAAACACTGGGTTATAATTAAACAAATTTCTTAACTGTAGGACTTCTCAGAGCAGTCAAGGTATGGATTAGTCTGGTTCTCCAAGAAGCAGATACCAGCGTGGGATTAGAGGGCAGGAGGCTGATTGGAGGAACGCCTGTGCTGGAAAACGGGGAAGGAGCTGGAGGAGACTGAGATGTAGGTCTGACCCTCGATAAGGAGAAAAGGAAGGAAGGGAAGGAGGCAGGAAGGGAGGAAAGTCTTGAAGTTCTTTTTAAAATCTTTTATTTATTAATTTTTTTAGGGGAGAGGTAATTAGGTTTATTTATTTATCTATTTATTTTTATTGGAGGGACTGGGGATTGACCACAGGACCTCATGCATGCTAAACACTGCACTCTACCACTAAGCTATACCCTCCCCTCAAGAAGGGAGGAAGGTCTTAGATTCCGGTGTAGTTCTATGAAAGTTTCAGCAATGCCAACAGGGAGTCACAGAGCCAGACTCACCCATCAGAGAAGTCCCATCTTGCAGGAACTGGCCTGACTTAGTGGACCTGCCTCTCTCACTGGCGGGGAGAAACCTGTGGGAATCTGGAGTCTGTTTTAACACAGTGACGGATTTCAGAGCATGGCAGCTGAAGATGTTGGTCAATAATGCCCCTCAGAGTAGGCATCAGAGAGGCACATTCTCCATGGTTGTTAAATGTGCCAGTGTGCATTTGTGACTTTTAAACTTTTGTAAGTGCGGGACCCATTCACATCCTGGGACCAGTTTGTGGTCTGTTGTTGCATTACCACCATGTACCAGTGCACTTTCCTTTCTTACTGTATGCTCTGAGCTTCCCCACAAGTGGACCAGCCACAGTCTCTTAAATACCCTCCCTCCTGGCACGTGTCTGCATGTTGCCTGAGGGTAAGGGCTGTGACTCTGGGACAGAGCCAGTCAGCCAGCTGGAGGCTGAAATCTGTATCCCAACTGCTAGTCTGCAGATGGGTCAGCTGGAGGGGCTACCCCGGGTCTTGGCTGGCAGTCAGGATGTTTTGGGTAGCCCTTTTCTCCTCCCTCCTTCTCTCTCTCCCCCCAGGGGATAGTGATTAAGAATCAGGAAATTAATCAGTCCATACCATAATTTTGTTTGGACATCAACGAGCACTAACCAGCTCTACTTAGGGCCAAATTTGGGGGTCCATCAGGCAGACCAAAGGGAATATTTGACATTTCATCAAATATTCAAAATCCAGTGGAGATATTTCTGCTTCTGGTAAAGATGAAGTAACTGGAGCCAGGTTTTTCCTCTTGCCTGAAACAAGTTGAAAACTGGGCAAAATGTAAGAAAATAAGTTCTGAAGACATTGGGCATCAGGTGACAAAGAAAAGTGATTCCTGAGAGGCAGGAAAGAAAGGAGGTGAGCCCTATAGTTGCCCCAGCTTTCTTCTTAAAGAGAGTCTCCAGGCAGTGGCAGAGGGAGAGAAAACCCAGGAAGACTGTGCTGAGCTTCCTGAGGTGAGAAGATGGTGATGAGAGTCAAGGGAGACCGAGGCAGCTCGAGTGTTCAGGGCAGGACGCGGCACTCGCCTGAGGACAGGACCCGGCGCTGAAGACAACAGCAGCCAGAACTCGCCCAGGGTCAGCCAGGTGCCTGTCCTTCCCACCCAGCCTGAAAACAACACGGTTCCGGGGTCCCGGGCGGAGACCTGAGACGGGCGCGCAGAGTTAGCAGTACGCCGAATGCTGCTCTAACGACGCTGTCTAACAGAGCTCGAAAGCAAGACCCCGAAAGATCAAACTATTTCCAAGTAACTTCACTGTGTACCAGAAAAAACTCAAGAATACTCTTAGGAATAGAAAAATATCCAGCACCCAATGAAGTAAATTTGCAATGAGGGGCATTAAGTTAAAAAAATCACCAGGCATGCAAAGAAGCATGAAAATATAAATTCAAGGAGAAAAATGAACCGCAGCTGACCCGGAGCTCACTCAGATGTTAGAATAGCAGACAAGGACACCAGGACAAATGCTGTGACTGTATTACAGATTTAAAAGCTAAAGGAAGGATTACGTTGAGTAGAAACAAGAAAGATAAATTTTTTTTAAAAAAGGCCCAAATTGAGTTCCTGGGGCTAAAACCTAGAATATCTGTGATTTAAAAAAACCAAACACTGGATGGAATTCATGGCAGATTAGACATTGCAAAAGAAAGGACTGGTTAACCTGAAGGCAGAGCAATAGAAACTTCAAAATAAAACAAACTGAGGAAGAAAAAAAAGACAAGAAGAAGAGGGGAAAGGAGGAGGAGGAAGGGAAGGAGGAGTTGACGGAGAAAGGCTCACTGAGGCATGGGGCAGCTTCAAGCAGCCTAATTTATGTGCGATTGGAGTCCCCCCAAAATGAGAAGGACACGTATTTGACGAGGAGAGAAGAAGGTTGAGGGACATTGATAGGCACATACTTACAGCTGCAAAAAAAAAAAAAAATGTGTCACAGGTATGAAGTGTGCAGTGTGGGGAATATAATCAATAATCATGTGATATCTTTGCATGATGACAGATCGTAACTAGATTTTTTGTGGTGGTTATTTTGAAAATGTGCAGAAATACTGAGTGGCGGTGTCATTCAACAGAAGGTAACATAGAGTTGTAGGTCAATTATACTTCAAAAGCAAACAGAAAAACTCAGAAAAAAGAGACCAGAACTGTGGCTACCAGAGGGAGGGGGAATTGGTTGAAGGCAGTCAAAAGGTATAAACTTCCAGTCATAAGATAAGTAAGTGCTAGAGATACGATGTACACATGATGAATATAATTAACGCCCCTGTATGCTGTATATGAACGTTGTTAAGGGATTACATCCTAAGAGTTCTCATCACAAGAAAAAAAGATTTTTTCTGTCCCTTTAATTCTGTATCTGCGCGAGATGAGGGAGGGCCGCTAAACTGATTCCCGTGGTCGTCATTTCATGCGGTATGTAAGGTAAATCATTGTGTGATGCATCTCAAACCTACACAGGGCTGCATGTCAATCATATCTCAATGAAACAGGAAGGAAAAATTAAAAATAAATAAATAAAATAGAAATAATTAAAAAAAAGGTTTTGGCAGTGCCTGACACATGACCAAAGTGCTTTAAAAAAGAAAACCCTGGCGTTTGTCTTACTGTTCAGCAGGCACTTACAGTGTCACTATGGTGGGTCGGAAGCTCCAGGCTGAGTGTGTCCAAAAGTGGACTCATTTCCTCTGTCTTCTGAGCTTTCCAAGCCTGCTGTTTTCTCGTCTCATGGAATTTATCGCTGTTCATTAGCTACCCTGGGACGGAACAGCCATAGCAAACACCCCTGAGTAGAAGGCACTGTTCTAAGCGCTTTTTGGTGTTAAACCGTATCTGTCCACGGAGTGACCATACAGAGCGCAGGTGCTGTCATCGTCCCTACCTTAGTGCTGTGTGAACTTGGGTGCATGTTTCTTTTGGAATCAGAGTTCCCTCTGAGCATATTCCCAGGAGGGGGGCGGCTGCATCATAAGGTAGCTCTGTTTTTAGTTTTTCGAGGAATCTCCGTCCCGTTTTCCGTAACGGCTGCCCCAAACTACATTCCCGCCAGCCGTGTAGGAGTGATTTTAAAAGCTTTCACGCTCCGTCACTTCAGTATCTGATTCGCTACCCCGTCCTCCGCGACACTGCTAGTCCACTCCTTTCTCTACCCACACTGATACGCACCCACTTCGGGCCTTCCTTACCTTCTGCTTTGAACTCCTGTTCTCCTGACTTCAGCTTCTCACTCACCCTTCTGTCAAATCAACTAGTCAGACGTGTGCCTAAAACATATAAGCCATTTTTCCCTACAACAGCCCACAAATACAAATGAGGTCCAGTATCTTTACTATGTGAGTCTTCATGGCTCATTGCCCCACCTGTGAGGTCAGAACCCGTAGCTTCAGGAAGACTGCCCCAGCATCTCTAAAAAGCACTTCTGAGTCCCCGAGGATGTTTCTCATATGTTTAGTGACAAATTCACTCCCTTTATAGATAAGCTAGAAAAAACAAAAACAAAAAACCAGAAGGAGAACTATACCAAGGCATACCGTAATCAAATTTCTCAAAACCAGTGAGAAAGAGAAAACACTAAATACAGCAAGCCAAAGCAAAACCCAAGCCAGACAACAGCAAAAGCGCTTCATGCAGAGGAATAAAAATAAGGGCAATCACTAGCACGTTTCTCGTCGGAACCCGTGCAGGTGACGAGATGGCAGAGTGACTCCTTCAAACTGAGCGACAAACTGTCTCCTCGAGTCATACTTCCCGGTGGGAGTATCTTTCAAAAATGAACTGAAAACAGAACTGTTTTCACACACACAGAAACTGAAAGAATTCATCACCAGTAGACCCACACTATAAGAAATATTAGAGGAAGTCCTTCAGGCAGAAGAAAAATGATACCAGATGGAAATACAGATTTGTATTTTTAAGAAATGAAGAGAACCAGAGATGGCCATTCTGGTTGGCGTGAGGCGATACCTCCTTGTAGTCTCTTTTGCATTTCTCTAGTAATTAGTGATGTTGAGCATCTTTTCATGCGCCCGTTGGCCATCTGGATGTCTTCTTTGGGGAAATGTCTGTTTAGGTCTTCTGCCCATTTTTTGATTTGGTTGGTTGTTTTCTGACGTTAAGAGCTGTTTGTATATTTTGGAACTTAGTCCCTTGTTGGTCTTGCATTTGCAAATATTTTCTCCCCTTCTGTAGGCTGTCTTTCCATTTTGTTTATGGTTTCCTTTGCTGTGCAAAAGCCTTTAAGTTTAATTAGGTTTCATTTGTTTATTTTTACTTTTATTAATAAAGCTGTTTTTTAAAAATTGAGTGGAATGCTCACACGTGTGGAAACTCAGGCTATTGGCAGATCTTTATGCCAGTGATGAGAACAACCCATACATAGTGGAGTCCACTAGGTAGAGAGTAGATATTTAGGCTTTTAGACTTGGTTTTCAGGAATTTGAAAGTCAGAGAACAGTAGAACCAGTTCTTTCTTTGGCCATGATTAATTTATCCTGCTCTGAAGTTAGCCAACGCTTGCAAGGTTGAGTTGCCCTGAAAGTTTCTGTGGAATGATGGGACTACTTGAAAATAAGTGTGTGTATTTCTTTTCATATTCTTTTTTTCGTTACAGGCTGTTACAATGTAGTTCCCTGTGCTCCACGGGACGACCTTGTTGTTGGTCTAGTTTACATACAGTAGTTTATATCTGCCAATCCCCACCTCCCAATTTATCCCTCCCCACCCCCTTTCCCTAGTGGTCATCACAAGTTTGTTTTCTGTGTCTGTGTGTCTGTTTCTGTTTTGTCGGTAAGTTGACTGAAGCACTGTGCTCTATACGAGAAATTAGCACATCATTGAAAACTGACTATACTAAATAAAAAAAAAAAAAGACAGAAAATAAGCATAGCTTCCTGGGTGAGGCGGAAGGGCAGGTCATGGCTTTATTTGGCTACGGAAGAACTACACCCTGAGCCTGACTTGAAACGGTCCAGGAGGGCCGTGTGAAACCGTGATGGCCCGGCCACCCTCGAGTAGAAGGTGCCAGGACTTCCCTTGGCGGTGGAACGGGCGGGTGACCGCTGCCGACTCTGTCCCCATGCACACAGTGTATCTGCCAGCTTGTGGACGCTCTGGCTGTCAGCGGCTGCGGGGGCATGAACTTGGAGTCCCAGCTGGAGAACATCGTGCCCATGCTGTTCACGCAGGTGAGTGCGGCGGGGCTGGCGGTGGCCTGCGCTTGCTCGTCCTCTCTTCTTCAGAGGCGCCGGCACCCCCGGCCCAGGTCACCGCCTCCACCCCGTTCAGGTGTCTTTCCACACACCTCAGGCTTCCCTGGGACAGGCAGACGCCTGGATTCTGGGCAGAGTGTGATATCTCCACTGGACACACTCTGTATGCTTCTCAGGGGTGACAGGCCTCTGTTGCTCCCCCCAATCTCTGGGAGAAGGTTCACACCACCCCATCACACTGTGGAAACTGTCCGATGTTCTGTGTTGCAGCCTAAGTAGGAAGAGGGCAATTGAACACTTTGCAAAAAGGTGTTCCCTTCCATGTGTGTAATTTATTGGCCGTTGTCTTCTTTTGGGGCTGGGAACATGGGCGCCTGGGTTCTGTTTTCCTGCCATTCTTATGGCCACACTTCTCATGGCTGCGGGCCTTGGTTTCCCCACAGCTGCACGAAAAAGTCAACACGTCAGATCCCTACTCTGTCCAGAGCCGCAGCCTCGCCATGAGGGCTTTCTTCATCCTGAGTAAGTCCCACGTTCCCCAAGCTGCAGGACCACTTTTGTCTCTCCCTGGATTGGAGCAGGGGCCGAGGTTCCCATGAGGGGCTCCCGTCCTTCTAGATGAGAGGCCAAGTAATCTGTGCGAGCTTGGCCTGAAGTCAGAACGCCGAGGGGCGTAGACATTGCTCGCTCCCACTCCCTCTGCCTGGGTTTGGCTTCCCTTCCTCCTTTGGGCCCCTGCTCAGAGAGGTGATCATGGGGGGTGTGCTGACCTCGGGGCAGAACGTGGTAGGGTGGGGAGGGACCTGGCCAAGTCCAGGAAGAGCGTCTGGCCGCACGTTCGGCACATGGTGACGCTGGCCCACGCTGGCGCCCTGGCTTCCGTCTCCCTCTCCAGCCTGGGGGCCTCTCACTTACCCAGCCTACAGCACCAGTGATTTGCTGTGAGCATGGCTAACTCCTGCTTGCCACCCACCACTTAAACACCACCCTGCTTCTCTTGAATCCGCGCCCTTCCGACAGCGAAGTTACACAATGACCAGGTGGTACTGTTAATCCGAAAGACCCTGGAATCCAAGGATCCGGCCAAGATAGTGCCAGCCCTTCAAGTGTTCATGGAAATATTCCAGGAAGGTGAGTGGGAATGGGGCCTGGGCCGGGGCATCTTCTTTCTCATGAGATCTCCTTTCTCTGGGAAACAGCCCTGGATAGCAGCTAAAAGCACAGTTTTAAACTCAAACTCAGTGGGTTCAAAGTCTTGGCTTTGCCTCTGATGAGCTGTTGCAAACTGGGGCAGATCACTTTCAGTCTGTGCCTCTGTTTCCTCATCGGAAACAGGGAGGTAACATGAACACTTACCTTCAGTGTTTTTGGTGAGGATTTGATGGGAAAACATAGGTGAGGTGCTTAGACCGGAGCCCACGGTACAGTCAAGTTATGGTGGTTTCATCCATGATTGTCAGCCGGGAGCTTCAGCTCCGGTTCCATGTCTGTTGAACCTTGGCCATGTGCCTGGTACGGTGGGGGGCACTGGAGATCCTTACGTGAGTGAGGCGCGGTCCTGCTGTCAAGGAGCTGGCTTTCAAGTCGGGGAGACGAGGGTGTTCACACAGCGGGACGAGGCAGCACAGACCGCGACAGGTGCTTACCCGCGTGCAGCAGGGGTGCAGCAGGGGTGCAGCAGGGGTGCAGACAGGGCTGGATCGGGGAGGTGGGTGGGCACTGGGCAGGTGTCCCGAGAGCAGGGAAGGAGACAGCGAGGTAGAAGAGCGTGTTCGCAGCTGCAAAGGCCAAGATGTACAGAGGGAGGGGACAGCGCGGCTGGAGAGGTGGGTCTGCGGGCATTGTGGGGCCCCCAGGGGCCAGGGCTAAAATGGCAGCTTGAGGGAGAGACCATGTAGGTCACTCTTCAGCCTGGTTCGGAGTGGAGGGACGGTGGTGGATCCCCAGGGAGTCCCCCTGGCCGTTGAGGACCAGGGCTGTGCCCAGGACCCCTCCTGCCTGTCTTCTGTGGCTCCCAAAGCTGCAGAGGAGGCGGGAGGCAGCTGGTGGCCAGCTGCACATCTGTCTTTTCTCCAGTGCCCCAGACAGAGACGCTCAAGCGTGAGGTGATGCACTCCATCGTTGTGCTGATCCAGGAGGATCTCAAACCAGTGAGCACAAAGGCTGAGTGTTGGGGCCGGTGGGCCACACAGAATGCAGAGGGGAGGTGGCTGGGGAGCAGGAGAGGTGAGGCGCCCTTATCAAGCTGGTTCCGGCCTCACACCAGCGCCCACCAGTTACATCTGGGGTCTTCAAAGCCCAAGGAGGGTTTGCAAAGCAGACAGGTGGCTCCTACCCATGTTCTGAGCCTTTTCTGCGGGTGACACTGGGGTGCCCAATGGAGACGTGGAGCTCTGAAAGATACCAGCTCTGCCCTCGGAGAATGCAGTTTGCTCAGGGAGAGAGGACCCCAAACGTTATGCCTGGCATGGGGTCTGAGAAGCCTTGTTTTTAACAAGCTGTGCAGCCAGGTTTCGAGGCAGCAGACTGGAGCTAGCTCTGAGTTGTGCAGGACAGGGGAGCGGGGGAGCAGTGGTTCATGGTGTCGGATGGACGGCAGTGGCATCATCCCTGAAAACAAAGTCCTAAATCCTCAGAAGGGTCCTGGGGAGCTGGCAGCTTGAGGGCTGGGCCTCCTGACGTGTAGGATTTGTTCCTGACCTTCCCTGTGGAGGCCAGGACGTGGGACCTTACCTGAACGCAGGTTCTGCCCCACCCACACTCCCACCCATGTTCATGTCTCTGGGGAGCAGGGCATGGGCCAGCTAAGTACCTGGGGTCCTCCAGGAGGGTGGGGGGAACGGAAGTGGGCTGGAACTCCAGGGTGGGGCACGGAGTGGTCGGGTTCGGAGACTGGTGACCTGTCATCGCTGGTAGCCCACCAAGGCGTCACCCTGGGCTTGGAGTCAGGAGAGAGGAGGCCCCTCACCGAAGGCGCCCGCACCTGCTCTGCTTGCCTGAGCCCTCACCGGGACGTGCAGGATCAGACGGGTGGTCCCTGACGTGTCGGCCTGTCTTGCGCCGTGATGGCCTGCGACCCCCAGGTGCGGAAGACCCTTCTGAGCTTCCTTGAGATGCTGGGCCGCCTCGGCTACCTGACCCTTCCCCAGGGAGACGTCGTCATCGACTACACCATCCAGCTCTGCCAGTCTGACCGCTCAGTGAGCGGGGCCAGGGGGGCGGGCAGAGGGAGGGGTGAGGGGCACAGGGCACGGGGAGGGTGAGCAGAGGGGAAGGGGGAGGGGCTTTGGAGGTGTCTCAAACCCTGAGCAGTGAGCCAGGAGGCTCAGCTGGCTTTGGGTTCAGATTTAACTCTTTCCTTTCTTTATTCCAGAATGAAGAGGACATCCAACTAAAGTGTTCCAAAATCCTACAGATGGTACAAACCTCCAGGGTCAGGCTCCCAGATCCCTGCCCTGACCCCCAGACTGCACCCCCGTCGAGCCCCTGTCCTGTCTCTTGTACTGCTCCCCACCTCCCTTGGCCCCTAGGGCCTCTGAGAAGTGGCTCCGTGGAGCAGAGGAAGGTCATGATTGGTGAATCTGGGTCCTGCTAGGCCTGTTCCTGGCTGTAGTGTCTTGAGAAAACTGCTCTCTAGGCTGCAGTTTCTCCTCCTGTGAAAAGGGGGTGATCACACGCCCCGCCTGCTCCGCGGCCTCTCAGGGTCCTTGGAGTTTCTAGCGAGCTGAAGGTCGTGTGGGTCAGCGCTGGGTGAAGGGCTGGGGGGGGAGTGGGGGGGGAGGCCAGCGTCACTTCCCCTCCTCCCTGGAGTCACTCTCCCTCCCAGCAAGCTCTGTCCCCTGACGTTTGTTGAGTCTGTCTTCTCCAGAGTGTTCCCCCGTGAAGTACACGGTTCCCTCTCCCTCACCAGGCCCTCCCTGCCGTCATTTTCATCAGGACCTGGCTGTGTTTTACCACGTGCAGTGGGGAGGGGTGAGAATGTGGGTGGGGTGAGGGGCTGCACGTGCAGGAAGGGAGGGTGAGCGCTTGTGCCGGGGCTGACTCGGAGCTTGGCCCTGAAGCCCTCCCACACCCCCGCCAGGTGCCCTTGCCTAAGCTGATCACCTTGCTGTGTCAGCCCAGCAACAGCCTGGCCTTCGTGCCGCTGAGTAAGACGGCCACGGAGATGGCCCTGAGGGCCCGGGCCCTGGGCCAGGTCCCCTACCTCAGCGGCTTCCACCTCCAGCGTGAGTACCCAGGGGCAGCCGTGGGGAGGTGCCAGCCGCCAGAGGCAGACTCCCGGGGGCCTGGAGTGTGGGGTGGGAGCGGTGCCCGGGAGCTTGGGCTGGCCTGGGGGGCCAGTGAGGCAAAGGGGCCCCTGGGGCCTTGAGGGTGAAAGGGGCCCCCTCTGGAAGAGGGGCCCAGGCGCGCTTGCCTCATGCCTCTATTCCTCATGTTAGAACGCTGGAGTCGAGAGGCAGCAGCACCTTGTTAGTTCAGTGTCACGTGCACACGGACACTCCTGGCCCTCAGTTCCCTTTGCCCCGACTCTGCTCCTCACTCTGTGCTGATCTCACGCCTTGACTTCTAATCCCAGGGGCGGCGGGACTGGGTGAGAACATCTGTTCAGCACATCCCTTGATGTGTTTTTCTTTTTCCCCCTTTTTTTAGCTGAACATGTCATGGTTTGTTCTTTAGACTGAGTGAAAATGTCACAGGCCCCAGTGGCACTGGCCCAATGTCCCCTCTGCACTTTGCTCTTTCTCCTCCTCTGGAGTCCTGATGGTGCGCTGCCCGTCGGGACACCCTGGAGCTGGCACTGACTGTGTCCTCTTCTTTTATCCTCTCTTTAACTTAGCCACCCAGTTCATCTCCCCACAGAAACTCCTGGTCCACCTTGTGGTAAGTCATTTTAGGATGAGTACTACATCTCCATCCATCCATCCATCCATCCATCCACCCATCCACCCATCTACCCACCCATCCATCTACCCATCCATCCATCCATCCACTCATCCATCCCTCCATCCACCCATCCACCTAATCCATCCATCCACCCATCCACCTATCCATCCATCCACCCATCCACCTATCCATCCATCCACCCATCCACCTATCCATCCATCCACTCATCCATCCCTCCATCCACCCATCCACCTATCCATCCATCCACCCATCCACGTATCCATCCATCCACCCATCCACCTATCCATCATCCACCCATCCAGCTATCCATCCATCCATTCATCCATCCATCCATCCACCCACCCACCCACCCTTCTACCCATCCATCCATTCACCCATCCATCCATCCGTCCCTCATTCCAGTCATTCCACAAATAGTTGAGTGCTACTCTCTTCCAGGTATTATGCTGGACATGGAATAAGATGGTAGAGCCAAGGATCACTGGAGCTCTGGGGAGAGGTGGTCCAGGTCGAAGAGCTTGGAGGAGGGAACTCGGGGCTTAGTGCTGGGCCCAGAGTTGAGGAAGAAGTGGGGAATGGGAAGGCCTGGCTTGTTTCCTACATGGTTGTTAAGTTTCTCTTTTGCTGACGTTGGACAAGTCTGCATGCCTTTCTGGATCTCATTTTCTTGGCACGTATGTTTTGAGTTTCTCTGTTTGCCCAGACATTGTGCGCTAGGCATTCTGAACACTTGGAGAAACAAGATAGAGACCTGCCCCTGAGGTGTGCACAGTCTTAGCGGGGAAGGCAAGCCTGGGAATAACCACCCACAATGCCGTGCGATACGTGTACCAATAGAGGGATACGCAGGGTGTACTGGGATCCTAGAAGAGCAGTGGGCTGACTCGGTCTTCAGGGAAGGCATCAGGAGGAGGTGACGTTTCAAGAGCATCTTGGAGCACATGTAGGAGTTCAGCAGGGGGGATGGAATGGGGGAGGTCTTTGCTCCTGCTCTGTCTGTCTATGGCTTATTCTAGTTTTCTTTCTTCTCTTCCCTTAAATCCTTTCTCTGCCTCCTTCTTGCTTTTCTCGTTTCTCAGATGTTTTCCCTGAAACCCTATAGAGAAAAGGAATTTGGTGTAAGCTCGCTAAGGCTACTGAATGCCTTGCATCCTATCACCTCGCTGCACCCCATTATCAACTTGGATGTGGGCTGGCTGTGGACAAAGGAGATCCCCAAGATGCTGCAGATCCTGGATGGTGAGGAGTTGGTGGGGGGGTGTGGAATGAAGCTGGGGCAAGAGGCAGAATCCAGAAGAGACGGAGCCCCAAGCGCACGATGGGCTTTCCTGGGGGTGACGAGGACTGGGAGCAGCCTCTCTGTGCCTCTGAGATGCTGTCCGGATGGGTTTGCTGCTCAGGGCCACGTTCTGAGCTGAGCAGACACACAGTCCAGGGTTCTGTGGCTCCAGTGTTCCCAGAGTGACTCCTGCCCCTTCTTGTGAGTGGCGGCTCAGGGGAGAGTGTGGGCTTTGGAACCAGGCAGACCCAGATTTGTATCCTCACTCTGCTACTGACTGGCATGTGTGTTTGACCTTTAGAAAGTCCTTCATCTCCGGGAGCCTCTGTACAGTGGGAGAGCAGCTGTCTTATATAGGACGTGATGTGACTTCAGTGAGATGGCGGGTTTCTGGCCCTGGCACAGTGTGCAGGTGCGGGGTCTTTGGCCTTGCCCAGGCCTTCTGGCCGGAGGGGTCCCAAGCTCTCTCTTCTCCTAGATCACACCGAGAAGACCCTGAGTCAGAAGGAGTGGCAGGACAGGCTGCTCCAGGTGAGCTCCCTGGGCCCCCCCCCACCTGCCCTCAGCCCTCTTCAGGCCCCAGGCACGGCCCATCTCTTGCTCCCTTCTCACCCCCCTCTCCTCTGTGGTCCTCCTCCCCTCCCTCTTTCTCAGTTTTCAAGTCAGTCTTTATTGGCCATCGGTGACGACAAGTGGCTGGAACAGCTCCTCAGCGTCATCTTGGAGAGGATAAATTATTTCAGCGACGAAGCCGAGGAGAAGGTGTGTCTTTGTGGCCGGCGGGGCAGTTGCCAGTGGGGACGTTGCTGGGGGAATGGGCTGGAGCGGCCTGGGGGGTAGGGCTGCAGGCCGGGCGCGAAGCAGCGGCCTTGGGGCGAGGGCGAAAGTTGTTCCTGGGTCCTAAGGGGTCGAGGGACGGTCAGACAAGGAGCTAGTAGGGGTCACCCAGGAGCAAAACGTCCAAGTAGCTTACCTGTGCTCAGCGTTTTAGGCCTTACCAAGAGCCGCCGTCTGTTGTGGTAACTGCACCCGCCGCTGCTCGGTAACCTGGTGGAGCTGCTCCTTGGGTGCAGTGCGAGATTAATTCAAGTAACCTTGGAGGGTGCGGCTGGTTGGGGCCGGGCCTGATGCGGGGAGCAGGGTCCTTACTCTGGAGCTCAAGGTCGGTGGTGATAAAGGCCTGGCTGCCCGCCCTGGCCTTTCTGTGCCCGCTGTCATCTGGGTCAAGGGTCTCAGCCTCCACTTTCAGTTGCCTCACTTGGAAAGTGGCAGAAGTCAGATTGACAGAGAAGGTAGGAAACGCAGAGCCTGAGGCAGGAGTGGGGTGAGTGAGTGCAGCGCGTGGTGAGTGAGTGCAGAGGCCACTGCCGTTGAGAGGAGGCAGAGAGAGAGGTGACACGCAGTTCCACAACTTTTATTAAAATTACACAAATGTAAGGGACTGTTTTATTTCCTAGCTGGAAGTGAGAAGTCTGTGGATCAAGGATAGTTTCTGAAAGACGGTCCCTCCCCTAAGAGGCTGAGGAATGAGAGATGCAGGCTGTTCTTCCAGCGAGCTTGAGCCCTTGCTCTGCGGGGTCACTGCCTCCTCCAGACGCCCCCAGAGACCAGTGCTGGCGGCCGGAGCAGGGCTGACACTTACAAAGCTCGTGGAAGCTGCTGTTCGCAGGCTGCCCTCACCTGGGTCCAAGCGGTGCCCAACCCTGCCTTCCTCCCCTCCCCGCAGGCTTTCCTGTATAAGTTATTCGGCTTCTGCCTACGGACCACACGGAACACGGAACTGTTGAAGAGCATGCTTTCCTCCCTCCTGCAGACTGCCCACGAGGAGCTGCAGGAGAGAGAGGTGAGTGGGGCCACTGGCAAAGGGGGACACAGTTTAAGAGGCAGGACGGCAGTGTGGCTGGAAGCTCAAACCTCGCAAGCCAGACCACCCACTAAGGGCTAAGGGAGGGCATGAGAAGAGGGACAGAGAAGGACCCCCTTCAGATGCCCCCGAATCCCTGCTTCCTAACTAGGCAGAGCTTCCCCTTCACCTCCTTGGAGGCCAGAACAGGACCCACTGATACTTTACCCCATCCTGAAGATCTGTGTCCTGGAGCACCTGTCACTGTCCCCAGGTCCCTTCCATTCTGCAGAGTCTTAGCAGCAGCTCCTTCGGCACAAATGGCATGGCTGGCAAACAGCTGGCAGGCCAACTTTTAGACCCACTGGCCACGGTCAACACTTCCACTTAGCTGCCCAGCCACTGCGTCCCACACAGCACTTCCAGGGACTCACTCCTCCCTCTCTCCCCAGCCGTAGACGGCCCCCCCTTTCCACCTGCCCATTTTGGTCTGAGTTTCCACTGTTTCCTGTTCTCCTGGACTGGAAACACTAGCAGTGTCTGTAAGTCGTCCCTCTCCACCAGATTCTCTCTGGTTAGTGTCCAACTTTGTCCATAACGTGCCTTGATTTGTTCCTCCCGTCCACTCCCTCCTCAGAAGAACCCTTCTCCAAATTCCTAGCGCACAGAAGTATTCTCTATTCTGCAGCGTCGAATTTGATAATCCCCGAATGTTACAGATCTGTGACTCTAATTTTTCTTTTTAAAATTTTATTTATTAATTTATCTATTTATTAGAGGCACTGGGGATTGAACCCAGGACCTCGTGCATGCTAAGCATACGCTCTGCCACAGAGCCATACTCTAAGTTTTCATAATCTGGGATAATTGGCTGCTTAAATTACTTCTTGCAAGGATGTTTGGTTCTCCATCTGGATTTTAAACAGTTCAAGTGCAGGGAACCACCCTTCCCTTCATTTCTTCTCTTTCCCTTTCGTCTCCCTCCTCTCTCTGGCTCCCTGGTTCCGTGGGGGCACAGCAGGCGCGGGCTCACCCTGAGCCGTGGCGTGGTGCTGAGGCTCTCCCCGTTCCAGGGCATCGCCGTGGCGCTCAGCATTGTGTCCACGAAGCATCTGAAGACAGCCCTGGACCACCTGCAGGCATACGGTGCTGTCCTCACTGACAAGGCCTCATCCTTCATACTCAGACTGATGAAGGTGATGATGCCCCTGGGGGCTCTGCTGGCCTCCCCTCAAAGCCTTCCAAGGCATCCCACCGCCTCAGCCCCCCCACGTCTCTGAGGCCTGTGCCTCCCCTGTAAATGCTTGCTTCCCTCTGACCAACTGCGGGGAGGTTTCACCCACCCCCCTCCCCTCCCTCACGGCCATGCTTCAGGCCTGGGTGTCACCATCTGCAGCCCCCAAGCTGTTCACCACTCCACGGCCCCGTCTGGCCTTCTGAGCCCTTGGACCCAACCTTGCCCTCTCTGAACCGCTGCGTCCCCATCAGGCAAGGAGGATAGGGTGACGCACGGACGGGAAGGTGAGTTTCTCCCTCCCTTGCAGGAGCATCAGCCCAGGGAGTGGGGGCTGGTCTGTCACACCATCTACTTGTGCTACAGCAAGATTGTCTCAGAGAGCAAGGCGGCCGCCTTCGAGCACTTGGACGCCATCCTGGCCCTGGTCCTGCAGCACTACCGCCACTGCATCGTGGAGAAGGTACCTCCTGCTTGCTCGGTGTCTCCAACACCCATCCCTGCCTTCTCCCTCTTCCCCTGCAAGGAAGAGATGCCTGGCCCTGAACGGGACCCGTGGTGGGGATGGGACAGTGACTGCCTCTTCTGCATTTCAGTCCTTCTCCTTAATCCTGCTGCTGTGAAACGCTAACTGGCTGGGGGAGGAGACCGCAGGGGTGTGAGGTCTGTTGAAAGTGTCTCCTTCCCTGCTGGCCTGCTGCCGTCTGCCTTTGGGCTCTTTGCTGCCCTCTCTGACGAAGGGATGAGGAAAACCTAAGTTCCCTAACACAGTTGTTGGAAGATGCATTCGGGGGCATTAGAGGGAGCCCCAGTTGATTTTCCTGCTTCCGCTCTTTGTCCAGAGCACACGTCCCCAGGGTAGGGGAGGAAGTCCTCCCCACTCCCGGCCCCACCACCATCCACCTGGACATCCTTCGGTAGAACTTCTTCAGTGGAAAGACAGTACCTTGAGAGAGACAAGGCAGCTGGACTTACCCTAATTTAAGTGTGCCACCGGGGCGCTGCCGAGGGGGCAGTGAGAAGCGGCCTCTCCCCCGCGTGGACGCCACAGGCTTCCCTTTCCTGAGCTGCCCTTGGCGGGGAACTGCGGGGCCTCGGCCTGGGGAAGGCCACAGAGGGCCTTGCTCCTCATGACCAGAGTCCGTGTGAGTGGTGCCCCGCCCCAGCGCATCCCCACCTGGGCCTGAGCACACCGCTTCGTTCAGGACAAGAACCTGAAGCTGGACTACCTGGACGCTCTGACCAAGCTGACCGGGGTCCTGGGCAGCCAGCCCGCGGCCTTCCGCTTGGAGTTCCCCCACAAACTGGAGATGGTGGCCTTCATGGTGGTGAGTGCCCCTGCCGCGGGGAGGGCAGCCGGGTCCCCCCGGACACCGCTGGCAGTGCTCCCAGGCTGGGCCCTGAGGGGAGAAGTCCGATTCCCCGTGCCCCTCTTCCCCCTCCTTCCCTTCCCTTCCCATCGTCAGGGCAAGGGTGGGTGCTGCATGGGGGCTGCCACTGTGGGGAGGACGGACGTCCCTGGAGATTCCAGGTTCTACCTTCTGGGGTGGGAGGAGGGGGAGGCAGGCGAGAGAGAGATGTTCCGGACCCTCTTGGTCTCCGGGCGTGTGTGTCACAGGAGCTCATCAAGGAGGAGCCGCTGACCTCCATCTCCAGCCCCATCAGGCAGAAGGCGATGAGCATTGTCACTGACTTCAGGTGAGCACACCAGCTGCTCTGTCTTCCTTGCTCTGCCTGCACGCGGCTCTTTATTCCCCAGTGTGTCCCCACCTCTTAGTTTCTGCTTCTGGCCTCAGGGCCCCAGGCAGGAGTGAGCCCCCACGAGGCAATGCCTGCTGCTTCCTTGCGCCAAGATTCTTTAGGTGGGATTTTCGGAGCCCCTGGCCAAGACCACCTCTACCGTGTCCACGGGCACCTGCCGTGGCTTCTGCCCCAGGCTGCCCTCTGCCTTCAGGGCTGTCCCTGACCAGACACCTCCGCCCCGTCACAGATGCCCCATCCCGTCCAAACATCTGGGGAACCAGAAAGTCGCACGTCACCCCAGACCGTCAGTGCCATTTCCTGTGATCGTTGTGCCCCTCTCCTTCCGTGTTCCTGGTTCTTTCCCCCTTTTCTTACTGTTTCCTCCCTTTATTGTTTCATCACCTCTCCTCTGGCACCTTCCACCTCCTTGCCCACTGTCCCTCCATGTCCCCCTTCTCTCCACACCTTCCTCAGCCGTTGCTGCCGGCCGCCACTGTCTGGTTACAGGTCTGCTCCTCCCTGGGTCACAGGCAGCTCAGGCCCCTCTTAGAGGTGAAGGAGAGAGCAGAGCTGCTCCGGGCGTGCTGCAAGAGTGTGTTCTGCCTGCCGCCCACAGATGTGTTGCGAAAGGAGGCGTCCCGTCCCCGGGAGGCCAGTGCCAACGTGGTAATTCGCTCTTTGATGCTTGTCTCTGCATTTTAATTTTATTTCGGAGAGGACGAGATGGACAGGCCTGGCAGTTTTATGGAAGGCTCATCCACCTAACTTAATAAGGACAAAATCCTGGGAGGGAAGGCCTCCGATGAGGAAGGGGTCGGAGGCGGTGAGTCTGAACTCCCTCGGGAGACACGCCTCCTCCCTGGGGGCGCTTACAGGTGGCCCCTGCTGCCACTCAATCCTCTGGCCCAGAGGCGGGCCCTCAGTCCTTGACTTCGTAACTGTCGTACGACTGAAACCGGGCTGGGACGTTCGCACGGGGCTCTGCTAAAGGCCTGTGGGGTCAAACAGACCCAGGGCGCCCTCCTGCAGGGCCCGCGGCGTCCCCCGGGGGCCGAGGCTGCTGATGTGCACTTGTGCCTTTGGCTCCAGGGGCTCCTCCGTGGGCTCTGGTCACTCCTTTACCTTGACTGGTTGTTCTTGTTTATTAGAGATGCCGTTGTCTCTTGAATCTTTTGAGGCTCTGAATAAAAGTGTAAACAGGTTACGTGTTCTGCTCTCTATTGAGTTCGTCTGGTTTGCTTCAGGGCCAGCCGTGTGCTTGTTTGTCCTGGGCCTTCTGTCCATCCGCGGTCTGGTGATGCTTCTTTGTCAGTTCGTATTTAGTCTTGTTACGAGGGAGGGACAGGTCCCCACAGAGAGGGCTGAGGTGGGTTTCCTCTGCCTGTGTCCGCGTTAGACCTGCCTCAGGGGGAATCTGGTTCGGGTGGGGAGCCAGCCTGACAGGGTTCCCGTGTCTGGGGCCGGCTCTTACTGCTCCAGTAGGAAGAGCTTGGCTCTGGAGGTGGATTCCTTCTGCGGGCTTTATTTCAGGGAGAGCTGCCTCCCTGCTCCTTTCCCCTCCTTGTCAGCTCTGGGACGATCACAAATGTTGCTTTGGTTCTGCCAGCCAACCCCTGCTTTTCGGAGCTCTCCTAGGTGGATCACCTGCTTTCTTTATGAGGTTTATAAGGTTTGGGGAGGGAGGGTATAGCCCACGTGATACAGCGTGTGCTTAGCACGCACAGGGTCCTGGGTTCCATCTCCAGTCCCAGGAGATTTATATTTATATGATATAAATACATATTATATTAATATAATTAAATAAATAAGCCTAATTACTGCCAACCCCCAAAACACTAAACTAAAAAAAAAAAACTTGAAAAAATAAGTTTTGGGCAGGGTCACTTCATTCACTGAAAGACGGGAGAGACACATCTGCTGTCCTAGCTTTTGTGAACCAGTTTCCCTGCTGACTGCCAGGCTGGCCCCTGCATCTCCAGCCAAGCTGCCCCGCAGTCCGGGGGGCAGAGTCCCAGGCTGAGCGCCCAGGAGCAGGGGGCAGGGGCGGGGTGGCTGGGATGGCAGGGAGCTCCCAGCCCGCGGGGACAGCACACATCAGGCGGACATCTGTGTCCTGGTGGAAACAAGGGAATCCCTTCACGTTCATGGCAGACAAGTGGCCCTCGAGATGCAGGAGAAAAGTTGTGGGGCGGGATCTCTCAAGGAAGGCATCCTGGGAGACCCAGGGTGCAGAGAGGAGCACGGAGGGATGGGGGTGGCTGAGAGCCCGGCCGTCGTTTGAGTCCCTCGTCTCCCCTCAGGATCTGTTCAGGGAGACCCTGCAGTCCCTCCAGAAGCTAATGGAAACACTTATTGTCGAGATGCCCACTCGGATCCAGCACTGCTTGGAGGTCAGCAGGAGGGAGCCCCTTTTCCTTGGGCTGCATAACGAAGCGCCACAACGGAGTGGCTTCCACTGGCAGAAATATGTTCCATCTCAGGTGTACAACCTAGAAGTCCCAACCAGAGTATTGGCAGACCTGGTTCCTACTGGAGGCTCCAAGTGTCTCTTGGCAGCCCGTGGCGTTCCTTGGCTTATAGACATGTCACTCCAAGTCTGCCTCCATCCTCACAGGGCATCCTTCCCCTGTGGTCTCTCTCTGTGTGTGTTTTCTTAATAAGGACAGAAGTCACTGGATTAGGGCCCACCTGAACCCAGTATGAACTCACCTTAACTTGAATTGATCTGCAAAGACCCCGTTTCCAAACAAGGTCACATTCTGAGGTTCTGGGCAGACATGAATTTGGGGAGCACACAGTCCACCCGGGACAGCTGGTAACAGAGCAGCAGAACAGGCGAGGGGAGGGAAAAATAAGAGGTAGAACTGAGGATGGAGGCTGAGGGCAGAGCCTTAGGGGAAGGACGACCAGGGCGGGATCCAGACAACCCTGGTCCTCCCCCGGAGGAGGAATTTCCCTTCTTCTTTCTTCCCCTCCGCCCATTGCTGCGGTCCTCTCTCTCTCATCCCCGCTCAGCCCTTCACAGGAGTTTCTGTAGAACTATTTCTGAGCTCTGTATTCTGCTCCGTTGGTCTCTGTGTCTGTCTGTTCACCAAATACCACACTTTCTTGATTATTCTAGTTTTAGTGTAAGTCTTAAAATTGTGTAGCAAGATTCCTCTAACTTTCTTCTGTTTACCTTTGCTTGTAAATTTAGAATCAGCTTATCTGTATCTACAAAAAATCCTGCTGGAACTTTTATGGAGTTGCATTAAATCCATAGATTTATTTGGGAAGAACTAAAATCCTTATAATGCTGAGTCCTCTAATCCATGAACATGTTATGTCTGTTTTTTAGATCTTCTTTGATTTTGTTCATCAGCGTTTTGTAGTTTTCAGCATATAGATCCTGTGTATATCTAAGTATTTCATTTTTTGGAGATACTGTAAGTGCAATTATTAAAAGATTTTGGGGTTCCAAGTATTCATTGCTAGCATATAGACATTCAATTGAGTTCTGCACATTGACCTTATATTACTTCTAAGACTTTTTTGGTGGGTATATGGACTCCTTGGAATTTTCTACGTAAAAATCATCTTACTTGCAAATGGGGACAGTTTTAGTTCTTATACCTGTTTATTTCATTTCCCCGCCTTACTGCACTGGCTAGGACTTCCAGGATGATGCTGGGTAGGGTGGGGGCAGTAGACATCCTTGCTTTGCTCCCAGTCTTAAGAGGAAGGCACTGAGTCCAAACCACTAAGTATGATGGTAGTTAGACTTTTGGTAGGTGCCACCTACCAGGTTTGGAGGTTTTCTTTTATTCCTAGTTCACTGAGAATTTTTAACATTAATCGATGCTGAATTATGTAAAATTTGGGGGGGGGATCAACTGATATGATCATGTTGATTTTCTTCTTTAGACTATGAATATGACAGATCATACTGATTGATTTTCAGGTATTGAAGCAGCCTTGTATTCCGAGAGTGAACTCCACTTGATTTTGGTGTGTTGTTCTTTTTATATATTGCTGGATTTAATTTGCTGATATTTTGTTGGCAATTTTTATGTCCATATTCATAAGGGATACTGACTTATAGTTTTCTTCTTTGTTGTCTTCGTCTGATTTTAGTATGGCCTCTTAAAATGAGCTGGTAAGTGTTGCCTCTTCTACCTTGTGGAAGAGACTGAGTAAAACTGACGTTATTTCTTCTTTAAGTGTTTGATAGAAGTCACCCTTGAAAACATTGTGACCTACATACTTCTTTTTTTTCTTTGAAAGGATTTTAAACTATACATTCAATTTCAAAAATAGCTATAGAACTATTCAGACTATTTGCTTCATCCTCGGTGAGTTTTGGTTTTTAAGAAATTGGTTCATTTCCTCTTCACCTAAATTGTTGAATTTATGTAAATTGGAGTTGTTTGTAGTATTCACTTGTGCTTTTAATGTTTGCATAAACTTTTTCATTTATCTTCTCTCTTTGTTTCTTTGTTAATCTTGCTAGAAACATCAATTTGGTTGATCTTTCAAAGAACCAATTTTTTTGTTTTATTACTTTCCCCATTCAGTTGCTTCATATTTTTCTCTGTTTTTGTTTTCAGTTTTATTGATGTTTACTATTATCTGTAGCATTTTCTTCCCTCTGCTTGCTTTGGATTTATTTTGCTTTTTCTAGTTTTTTTTTATTTAAGTGGGAACTTTGATGATTGATTTGAGACATTTCTCTTTTCCTAATATGAACACTTAGTACTATAAATTTTCCTCCAAGCACTATTTTTGCTACATCCAATGCATTTTCATATGTTATATTTTCATTGTCATTCAATTCAAAATATTTTATAATTTCTCTTGAGACTTCTCTTTGGCCAGTGGATTATGTAGAAGTGTGTTGTTTAATTTCCAAATGTTTGGAACCTTTCTGGTATCTTTCAGTTATTGATTTCTAGTGTAATTTCATATGGTTAGAGAACAGACTTTTTATGATTTCAGTTCTTGAAAATTTGTTACTTTATTTTATGAAGCAAGATATGGCCTATTTGCTTTTTTTATTGATGTATAGTTAGTTACAATGTGTCAATTTCCGGTATAAGCATAATGCCCCAGTTGTACATACACACACATGTATTCATTTTCATTTTCTTTTTCATTAAAGGTTATTACAAGATACTGCATATAGTTCCCTGTGCTGTACAGAAGAAATTTGTTTTTTATCTATTTTTACACATAGTGGTTAACATTTGCAAATCTCAGTCTCCTAAATTTATCCCTTCCCACCCTCTCTTCCCCAGTAAACATAAGATTGTTTACTATGTCTGTGAGTCTATTTCTTTTGTAGATGAGTTCATTAGTGTCCTATTTTTTCTTTCTTTCTTTTTTTTTTTTATAGATTCCACATATAAGTGATACCATATGGTATTTTTCTTTTCCTTTCTGGCTTACTTCACTTAGAATGATGATCTGCAGGTCCATTCATGTTGCTGCAAATGGCATTATTTTATTATTTTGTATGGCTGAGTAGTATTCCATTGTATAAACATACCACAGCTTCTTTATCCAGTCACCTGTCGATGGACACTTAGGTTGTCCCCATGTGTTGGCTGTTGTAAACAGTGCTGCTGTGAGCACTGGGGCACAGGATGTACTTTGTGTCTGTACTATTTCACGTCACCATTATGACTGTGAGGTTCATCTGTGTTCTTACATGTGGCACTAGATCATTCTTTTTATTGCTATGTGTAATATTCCATTGAATGAAAAAAATATAAATATTCATATATATGTCTGTTTATCTGTTTTTGCAAAAGGATAACATTGTAGTTCTACCATTCCTTATTCATTTTTGTCTGGAATTCTTCTCTAAGGAGAAGTCACCTCTATTGACTGGTTACTTTGAGGCATAGCTCACAGAGGAAAGACAAGTGCTGGATCCTTTCCCTTCATTAGTTTTCAAAGTAGTAAATTATTTCTTAATATTCTCAGAAGGTGACCAGTGAAGGTTATTTCTCTAGCATCATTTGAGTTGAAAATGAATTTTAAAATGCTTTGTGTGTATTAATCACAACTATTAGTCTTATCGATGCTTAAACTGTCCCATCTTTGGTCAACAGGAGCCTCTTCAGGTTGACTCCCGAGTCCCTTGAACACGACTGCAGTGTCTTCAGTAGCTCCCTCGCTCTCCAGTACAATGTCTTGTGCATATCCTGTCTCAGTCCTGGGGTCAGCTTTTCTTCAATTGTGGGTTGCTGTCTGCTTAGCTGCAGCATGGTCAGATTGATGGCTGTAGCTTGATGTGCAGCGAAGCGTCTGGATCAGTGGTGTTTTGAGCCCATGATTTACCAACTGTGAGACCACTTGTGTATTGTGTTTCAGAGAGGAATCATCCATAATTGTATTTCTCAAGCATATTTATGCCCAGTTCACTCTGGAATCAGCAAATACAATGATTCTTCTTTGTTATCACCATCTCCTCTTTCTACTTAAGAGTGGGAGGAGGTGGGTAGGGGGACACTGAGGTACAACAACCCAGTGAAGTGACTGAAAATCAATACAATCCGTGAGCCACTGCTTTAGCCTGAAGGAAGAGGTAATAATGGAAGAGATTCCTAGCAAAATCGGGGGTCGGAGGAATGAGGGCTCCTGGTGCTCGACCCACATGTAACCTGCCTGTAGGCGCACTTTGCAGAAGCCGGGTTCAAGGTCACCTTTCCACCCACTGGGTGGAACAGGCCTCTCCTTTCCTTCTCTTCTCTCTCCAGTTCCTGGACACGTGGCTGAACTCCCAGAAGGACAGCGAGCGGGAACGGGCCATGTGGTGCACAGCCTGTGTTCTTGGCTTCACTGCAAAAATGAACAACTTTGAAGTGAGTGGGAGCCTTTCCTGGAGACTGAGCCCTGGTGTCCCCTCCAGTCACTCTCATTGCCGCCTTCATCCCAAATGTCGTCTCATGAAGTACCGGGCCTCAGCCACTGATGCTCACCCTCCATCTTCCTGGCCCCACCCTCTGTTCTCTCCTGTGAACCTCACCTTTTCTCCCCTTTCTCCCTTCTGACATCTTCTTGGCCTTTCCTTCCATCCATCAATTCACTTCCATCCCACCTGGTTTGGTTTCATTCCGTTCATCTGCACAAGCAGCTACTGAATATTCACCTTGTGCCAGGCACTGTGCTCGGTGTCAGAGTGGATACACAGAGGACCAAGACAGTTGTCTGTCTTCATGGATCTCACAGACCGCTGGGGAGAGAGGCAGGCATAGAACAAACTATAATAGAAGGTGATAACAAAGGTACAAACCAAATGTAGTGGGAAGAAAAGATCAAGACACAAATGACTGTAAGAGAAAGGATCTGGAAGGCTTCATGGAGGAGGAGGCATCTGAGCTAGACTTGAAGAATGGGAGGTGTGTGTCAAGAGGTGAAGAAGGGGGACAGTGTAAGGTCCTTCCAACACTGTGATCCCGTATGTCCTTCCCAGCCACAACTCACCTGTCCAGTTCCATCCCCGATAAACTCACCTCATCTCACCTCGAACCTCTCTGGTCCTGGCAGCTCCTCCTCCTAGTTCTTTTCCTGTGACGACTCAGCCTGAGGGATTGGCTGGGATGACTTGTGGCTTCCATCTCTCCTCCCCAGACAGAAATTGAGTTCACCCGGCTGGGGCGCTTGGTGAGGCTGCTGGCCGTACGCTGCCAGGACCCCGTGGACAATATCTGCTTCCTGTCTGCCCAGGCCGTCTACAGCCTCTACTGCATCCTCCTGCAGCGAAAGAGTACAGAGAGCCTTCTCCTCCCCCTGGGGCCCCCGCCAGGCCCAGCTGTCCCCACACACTCTGTCCCCGGAGGGCGGGAGCCCAGGAGTTACTGAGCACATCCTTTCCACTGAGGAACCTGCCCGCAAACATCTATAGATACCTTCTTGGGACAAAAATATGCCCACTCAAGAGACAGTTCTTCTGCATCATTTTCTCCCCACCTGGCTGAGCCCCTTACTCAGTTCTGTTTCTGCTCTGAGGCAGGCACCGGGGTCAGGGGGTTCCTTCGACATCGGCCCTCACGTCCCCTGGCTTCGTGTCCTCCCTGTACCCCCAGCCCCACACGTTACTCCTCGCCCCAGCCGCCTCGGCTCAGTAGGTGTCTCGGGCTGGGCAGCTGGGGAAGTGGGGGCCTAAGGCTCCTTCTGAGTGTCTGAGCGCTGGGCTGGGCGTCTGTTTCAGAGATGGCAAGGAAAAAACAGGGCTTGTGGGAGGAAGAGGGCAGGAGCGAAGTGTACAGTGCCAGCATGTTCTACAACAGCACCTTTGAGATTGCCGAGGTGAGGGGTGCGCCAGAGGCCAGTGGGGAGAGCCTGGGCCTCCCGTTTACAGACTCCTGGGCTGGGACCCTGATGCCCCATCTCCTTCCCTTCCCATTACTGGATGTGAGCTCTGCCTTTGGGGAGCCTTTCCTGCCACATGCTCACCCTTATAAGCATCATGGGTCCTTATCCTTTCTTACCCGTCCCCCTGAGAAGCACCTGCTTCATGCTAATAATGCTCTGTGGGCACCCAGCCCACGCCTCAGAGAGTGGTCGCCAAGGCTCCCAGCCCCCGCCCGACTCCGCACGCTGCCCGTGCTGCTTCTGCCCTCTGAGCCCCACACTGCACCCTCCGGTCCCCAGAGACTCTGTCCCCAGTGAAAGGTCTTCCAGGAGCTGGCAGACAGCTCATGCCTAGGGCAGAAGCACACCGCGCTCCCCAGAGGTACTCTCCCTCCCCCGGCCCTGGCCGGGAGGGCGGCTCAGCTGTCTGCCGCTGGGGGCCTGCCGCGTCCAGCCCGACCGCACCGTGTTGCAGGCGTTTGCGGAGTACTTCACCCAGACGCAGGTCACCAACCTGGTGCTGACGGCCATGGAGGGCCTGACCAACAGCAAGGCCAAGGAGTCTCTGGCTGCAGCCCAGCTGATGAGTGGTGTCCTGAAAGAACGGGGCAGAGATATGAAGAAGGTAGGGTAGTGCTGTGGTGCCAGCTGTGCCCAGCAAGCCCGGAGCCCGGCCTCTCCTGCCTCTCTCGCTGACCGGCCAAAGGGCCTGGGGCAGGTCCCTCTCCTCTGCGGCCCTCAGTTCACTCACCTCTAAGTTGGAGGCTGGGACTAGACTTCCTCCGTGGTTCCGCTGAGCCCTGGCATTTGGAGTCCTGAGCTCGGAACTGCAGTTCCTCCCATGTGGGAGCCGTTTCCTTGGCTCATGACGACCATGTGCAGGGCTGTGGGCAGCTGGATGGCTGATGGTCAGAGCGCAAGGAAGCACTGCTGGGAGTACTGACCCCGGTTCCCTGGGGTGCGAGGGGGGCTTAGAACCTCTGAAGGGCAAGGCTGCCAACTGCCAACCAGCAAGTTCGTGGAAGGACCTGACCTTTGAATACATTTTCTTTTAGACTTACGTGTAAAACAGTTATATTTTGCATAAAAATCCACATTTCCCACTTCACTGAAAACAACTTTAAAATGAGGTCACATAGGACAGCTCTCTGAGTGGACACTGTCCCTTTTATATGTGGCATGGGCTCTCCAGACCCTCTTCTCTCTGATCCTGGATACCATGGCCTCCACTCCTGTATGTGACCTACGTAGCCCAGGTACCAGAGATGGAAGGTCCCTTGAGGTTGGAGAGTTGGTAGAGAGGGAGTGGGGGAAGGAAGCATGGAAGGATTTATGGAGACCCTTCTGGCTCTGCCCTGTAGATTGAGGAAGTTGTGGAGGGCATCCTGGAATCGCTCAGTTTGCAGCTGGAGCCCAGTACGAAGGAGGAGACCCTGCGGGCCATGTGCCTGCTGGCGGGCAACAATGCCCACATTGTGGTGCCCCTGCTGCTCAACAAGCCCCTGCCCTGGAACAGGTACCTCCCCACGAGGCACCCTCCTGCTGGGAAATGTGCCCCGCCCCGCCCCGCGCGAAGTCAGCGCACAAGGAAGCACTCTCTTAGATGCCAATCAAACTTCATCGGTGTTTGTTGGCGAAGTCCTCTTTGGTCCCACTCCCTCCAGACCGTGAGACCTGGCCGCTCCAGGCCCAAGCGAGGCCAGACTAGCCCTAGAAGCATGGCCAGCAGGGCGCGTGACACAGCTGTCTCTGGGTCCTGCAGAACCAGCCTGTCGGTGTGGAAGGCGTTTGGCACCCAACGAGAGACCACAATCGGTGTCCTGCAGGTGCTCATAGGCGTCCTGGAAAAGCTCGACTCCAGGGACGAGACCGGGGAGATGCCCTTCCGGCCTGTGGCGGTCAGCACAGGGAGGGAGGGGCCCCAGACTCCGGGTCAGAGGGGCCTGTGGGCAGGGGCAGGTGTCAGGGAGGAGCAAAGAGGAGAGGCTGTCACTGGAATCACTAGCACTGCCCTCGCGGTTAGCATGGTGATCTCTGTTTGCACCGTACACCTAAGAACTGAACGATGCGGTAATGGAAAGAGCAGGGGTGGTCCATTTCATGGACAGGGAAACGTTCAGAGCTAAGCAACTTTCTCTAGCTCCTGACTGTGGGGCTGGCACCCATTCTGGGGGGCCCGAGAGGCTGGGGGAGGAGGATGTTTGGTGGCCCGGAATTGGAGTTGACATGCCCTGAAGCATCTTCTGCTGAAACTTTAGAGTCGGTTCCCTTTTGATTTTTAAAGTCAGAGGAGTGAAGGGAAAGCAGAGTGCACCTGTGTGGCCCCCTCATTTCCCCGGGGATGAGCGCTGGCCTTTCAGTGTTGGGGTGCTTCTTGCGAGCCTGAGTCAGAGTGAGCTGTGACTCACCTTGGGGCAGTGACGGGGAGGGCAGGGCGGGACAAGATGTGCGGGATCTTGGGTCTGTTTGATGCTCAGGTCCGGTCAGATCTGCTCCCCGCCTCCACCGTGTCCTCCCCCAGGTGGCCTGTGCGTTGTGCGAGATGCTGTCGGGGTCCCTGTGCCAGGAGGCCGTGAAGGAACTCTACCCGCGGCTGCTGCTGGCAGTGCTGCATCATCTCTGCTGGGTGATTGAGCAGAAGCCCCCCCAGAAGATGGTGGTCTACACCAAGGAGGGGGGCCTGGGCAGCAAGAGCAAGCCCTTCGATCCCACTAGGTAAGCCAGCCCCCCAAGTGACGGAGGAATGAGATCAGTCCGTTCCAGAGAGCCCTGGAGGACAGCGGCAGAAGCGAGGAGACAGCAGAGGGTGTGGGGTGGTCTCACGTGTCTCCACCTTTCTCACTAACCCTTCGGTGGGCGCGCTGCCAGTCGGTGCGCGTGGCCCTGGCTCTGCACGCAAGGACGCTCGGTTGGATGGTAACTGGCCGAGCGAGACCATGTCTGTGTCACCCTCCCTGTGCGGCTGTGGTCCTTTGAACCTGGTTGGCCTCTGGCTTGCCTGTCACTAGCGGTGCCGTCTTGCACTAGTCACTACTAGGATTCAGATGTTTGCCCGTCGGACTCCTAGATAAGTGACCTCAGAGCATTTTGTTCAAATGACGTCTTACACGAAAATGAGAACAAGCGAGACCATCGAGCACAGACTTTCGGACGAGCTGGGTGTGGAGTGAAGAGACACCCTCGCCTGCCCTCCACGCCCTGGGGAGCAGCCACGGCCCTAGAGTGTCTTTCTAGGCTCTTTACTCGGCCTCCATGGCTGCGTGAGCTCCAGGGTGGGAGGGGTGAGTGGAAATGGTTTTCACAGAGCTGTGGACTTTTGTCAGCTGTCAGCGGGAAAGCAGAACCTAGCTACTGAGGCAGGGGGCTGTCTCCCGGCTTGCTGGCGGTGGGATACCAACCAGGGAGTAATGCTTTACCCATCCTTCTGTCTCTTCCTTTTCACAAACCTCATGGCGTGGCCTTCAGTTGTGCCCTGGAGGTGGTGAAGTTGGTGCTGTTGGCAGCCGCGTATGAGAGCGTGGTGTTCTATGGAAACCAGCATCGCAGCTGGGACCTCCTGTCCTGCCCCAAATTTTACTATATAGGGATCATGGACCTGACCAGGTGGGACCATTGCTCCATCAGCTCCTAGCACCCCTCTAACCCCCTGACCCCCGTTTCCAAGGGCCCAGCCTTCAGCACCCCTCCTTCCCCATCTCCCAGCCCTCTGGTCTCCTGATACCTCAGCCCTCATGCCTCCCCTTTTCCGTGCACACTGGTCCCTTGACATCTCCCCCCAGCAACTCTTGGCTTCCTGTGTCCCACCCAGTGCCATGGTGAAGAACTGTGAGCCGGCCATCCTGCACCAGCTCCTCAGCCTCGTCAGGAACTTCCTCTACAGCTTAGATCATCGTTGGAAGGTCCTGGCCAGGGCCTTCTACGCGCAGGTGAGGGCTAGGGGAGCGGCCCACGGCCCTAGCCCTTCATTTGGTCTCTCACAGAGATGTTAGCTAGCGGGCCGTGGAGAGCAGACAGAGTAGGAGCCTGGTTAGAGGAGGCAGGAGAAGCCGGGGGCGGGGCCAACAGCTCTGGTCCTCCCAGAATGACCTGTGGACCCCGGCACCTGGCTCAAAACTCAAACCTTATCAGCGTACCCTCCCACTCCTTACTGCAATGTCCACTCCACATGTCCAGATCTGCCACTTTCCTCAACTGGACGCAGTCCTGACCTGGCCACAGCCAGGGGGTGCTGAAGGGCACACTGGGTCCCTGAGACCTCTTCTCCATCCCTGGCTGTGGTCTCCTTGCACCCACAGCTCCTCTGGCACCGGTCAGTGGCTCAGACTCTGGGGCATGACTTCCTGAGCAACCTTGTCACGTGGATCAAGGAGCCTGACCTTGTCATGAAGGAAGTTGGGCTCCGGGGCATCAGTAACCTGGCACTGCATCCAGGACAAGTAAGAGCGGGGGCCGGGCGGGGACTGGCGACTGTCCCGGGAGCATTTCTTCTCTCTCCCGTGGGTCTCTGATGACCCAGGGCTTGGTCTATCTCCCAACCCCACATCCTCAGGCCACACAGCATCCTGACTGTAGACGCACATAGACTGGCCATCGGGCCCCACACCCTGGGCACCAGCCATCCACTTCCTTGGCACCTCCGGCCCCCAGGCTCCTCACATCTGTCCAGTGTCTTGGGCATCCTCTGTTTTCTCAGAACCCTGTCCCCAGAGTGTTGCCTCACCCCCAGGTGGTGAGTGACCTCTGCCTTCTCCCAACAGTCGGCGTCTCTGAAGAGCCTGGTTCCGTCCTTGAGAGACCTGCTGAAGAATGAGGTGCGCGTGACGGTGCAGGCAGTGAAGAGCCTGCGAAACATCATCTGCCACGGGCAGGCAGAGGACGCTAAGGTGGTCTTCTGCAGCATCTCCAAACACCTGCGCCCACTCATCAACGATGTATGGGCCCGAGTCCCGGATGGGATGGGAGCCGAGTGGGCTGGGGCTGGGGCTGGGAATGAGCCTGCGTGTGCCGGGGGCCGCGGGAGAGGGCTGGAGCCCCCGGGCTGAGGAAGGGGGCTGTCTCAGACGCACTCCCCTTACACACAGTTGTAGCACATGCTCGTCCAGGGGTAGCACTGCTCTGTCACCAGGAAGGAAAAAAAGTGACACACTGACACAAAATGGGTTCCAACCCCAAGCATCTTTTCCAGCAGACCCCGCCATGGGATGATGTGTTTGGGGAGGAGCATGGCTCTGCCCTCTCTCAGTCAACACAGGGACCCCAGGATGCCAGGAGCCTCGTCTCAAGAACCCAAAGGCTCAGAAATCAGAGCTTCCCAGACCTACACCAACCCGCTCCACATCTCACCCTCCTTACGGATTATAGAGCTTGAGGGCTGAGTGGACCTGACGTCAGAGCCGCATGCTTGCAGTACTCCTGGTCTGGTGCCTCTAACTTCTGAGTTCGTGCACCTTGGATTTGAGATATTTTTGTATCAGTCTTACTCCCCTTCCATCTTGGACACCCCACAATGACAGGGTCATTGTCTGGTTCATCTATTTTTCTGTTACTTTAGAACGTCACCATGTATGCTTAAGAACACCTACAGGTAATATCTTTACCTTCCACCCAAACAGTATAAGGACTGTAGAACGCTTTAACTCTGATCACACCCTCCCATTTTATCTATTAATATTGTCCAGTATTTCAGTTCCACATTCCTTTAAAACCCCCAAGTTTCGTCTTTATGTCATCCTCAGCACCCTCACCATCACTGTTACTGTTGTGTACAGTCAGTACTTATTTAGATGTACTCTCTTGCTCACAAATTCCTTTGCTCACCTTTCCTTCTGGAAGCTCTCCTCTCCCTCCTAAACGCGTCTCTTTTTTTCCCCTTTGTGGTCTGTTAATTAAATGTTTTCAGTCTTCGTCAGAAAGTGTCTGTTTTGCCTTGAATTCATCTTATGTTTTCAGCAGTTAACGATGTCTTGGGATGAGTTTCTTTGGGTCTAGCCTGTTTGAAGTTCTCTGAGCTGCTTGAAATTTCTGTATTTATATCTTTCACCAAACTTAGGAAATTTTTAGCCGTTATTTCTTAAAATGTTTTCAGCACCACATTGTCTCCCCTCTCCTTTTAGGAATGTGGTGACACGGGTGTGAGACCTTCTGTTATTATCCAGTGAGCCCCAAGCTTCTGTTCGTTTCCAGTCGCTTTTCTCTCTGGTTCAGATTAAATAATTTTTATTGCTCTTTCTTCAAGTTCACTGACTCTTTCCTCTGACATCTCTGTTTTGCCACGGAGCCGACCCAATTTTGTATTTCTCAGTTCTAAAGTTTTCTACGGTTCCTTTTTAATATCTTCTATTTCTTTGCTGAGACTTCTCATTTCTGAATTCATTCTCAGCTTTAGGGTATGCAGTTTTTTCAGTCCGCGCTACCGTGGGGGCAGGCTGGGGAGACCAGGGGATGTGAGAAGACTTGTCCTTGTCGAGCCCAGTGACATCCCCTCCCCACTAGAGACACCCTGATGTCCCATCCCCCGATGCCGCCCAAGCAGCTGGAATGACAGCAACCTCTACATCTTTGGCCCCTGGGAATTTTTCTTACTTTTTTGAAAGCTCAGCTCTGCATTTAAGAATGTTTTTGTATATTTTCTCTAGTATAAAGCTGTTTATGGTGGAGAGGTTGTCAGCTTTTCTTCCATGTTGCTGGAATGGAAGGTTGAGATTTAGGGTCTAACCAAGGAATAGTAAATGTCATCATCTCCACAGTGGTTACCCATCAGGGTGAAGAGAACACTGACCCAAGGGTCAGACCATCTGGGTTCTAGGTGCTGCTTTGTCATTCACTTAGTCATGCGCACTTACTTAGGCAAAGCTCAGTAGTGACATTCTGTTGTTTCATTGGTATGTCCTCTTTTCTGTCTTTCTGTTTTATTTTCGAAACTTATTTGGATTTATTCCTCATGTTTCTTTATATATATATAGTCAGTTACAATGTTGTGTCCATTTCTGGTGTACAGCATAATACTTCAGTCATACATGAACATACATAGATTCATTTTCATATTCTTTTTCACCATAAGTTACCACAAGACATTGAATATAGCTCCCTGTGCTCTACAGTATAAACTTGTTGTTTATCTATTTTATATATATTAGTATCTGCAAATCTCGAACTCCCAATTTATCCCTTCCCACCCTCTTCCCCCTCTGGTAACCATAAGTTTGTTTTCTATGTCTGTGAGTAAATAAGTTCGTTTGTCTTTTTTTTAAGATTCCACATATAAGCTATATGATATGGTATTTTTCTTTCCCTTTCTGACTTACTTCACTTAGTAGGACAATCTCCAGGTCCATCCATGTTGCTGCAAATGGCATTGTTTTAGTCTTTTTTATGGCTGAGTAGTATTCCATTGTATAAATATACCACAGCTTTTTTATCCAGTCACCTGTCGATGAACACTTAGGTTGTTTCCTTGTGTTGGCTATGGTAAGTGGTACTGCTATGAATGTTGGACTGCATATGTCTTTTTGAATTAAGGTTCCCTCTGGATATATGCCCAGGAGTGGGATTGCTGGGTCATATTCTCCATGTTTCTTAATTTTTCTTTTATATTTTCCATCTCTTTGTCCACTTTGGAAAAATCCCTGGGCTGATTCTCCTCTTACTAATTCACGCTTTAGCTATGATTATTCTGCTATTCAGCTGACCTGTTGAGTTTATTTCTCTATTAAGCAAGTGCTCTTTATTCTTCTCTTCTGGTTGATGGTGTGATATCTGAGCAGATACTGCATTATTCTGTGGGGACACTGCCTGACCTTTGCATGTCTTTATTTACTTATTTAATTATTTATTTGTTTACTTATTAATGTCAAGGTTTGGGGTTCTGAGTACTGTTTAAAAATGTCTCTCTCTCTCCCTCTCTCTCTCTCTCTATATATATTTTTTAAACCAAAATCCTTCTGAGGATTTGATTATGCTTTCTTTAAAGTTTTGTTCAGATTGTGTTATTAACTGTCTCCTTGGATGTGATGGGGTTTTGTCTGTTCCTTTTGTGGTGCTGGTTTCCCTAAATGTTTGGTGAGTATTGGTGGTAGCTCTGGAAATTTTGTACTGCTGGTTCTCGGCTGGCCCTCTATGAAAGCAGTGCTTTCCCGTCGCTGTGGGGGTGCACCCAGGGATCGTGGGCAGGCAGGTGTGCCAAGATCTGGTCTTCTGATTGTGAGGTGCCCTGCTCTTCCTGGGTGCTGCCGGACACCCAGGACTCCCTCCTATCTCTCTGTCTAGACACCACAGCCCTGCTCTGTCAGGGGTACATGCCCTGCTGCTTGCTAGTTAGTGAGGGGGATTCTGGGAGGGAAGGGTGGGGGAGAAACTGGGCTCTGTGTCTGGACTACAGCACCCCAGATGACCACTCTGTTGGCTGCCCGGTGTCCCCTCCTGTTCCCCTTGTTTACGGCCCGTAAGCTTGGAGATCTCCCAGAACACACCCACCTCCTGCAGCAGTCTGTTCAGGCTGTGGTTTCAAATTTAATTCCAGTCCTGTCTGCTGTCTGCCTTTCAGGGACACTCCAGTCCTCAGCCGGGGGGCCTGCTCTAATATTCCAGAGCCACAGAGCCATTACCGATTTGAAAAGCACATCTCTACTATTTCTTCTAGGGCTTTGGGGCAGGAAGAATGACAAGCAGTGCTCAGTCACCCATCTTGAGTTAATCTGCATGTGATACTTTCTGTTTCTTTAAATTAATGTGCCAACATTGAATCATCTCTCTTTAGCCATTGTGTTCACTCTGCGAAAAATAATGATGTGCAATCCAATTTGTTCAAGTGTGTTTCCCCTGTTCCACGGGGCCCGGGACTGTCTGTCTTGTCCCACAACACCTCTACTATTTGGCACCATGCTTTACTCACCATAGGTGCTCAGTAAATATTTGCTCAATTAATATATAATATACTCTTGAAAGTGTCCAGAATTTACTTGTTTGTGATCATTGTGAAATAATACAAGCTAATTAGATCTAAAATAATTTGTTCAAACCTTTAACTAGTTTAACCATATGTGATTTTTAAAATTTGGCATTCTTTTTAAAAAAAATTTTGGGGGGTAATTAGGTTTATTTATTTATTTATTTATTTATTTATTTATTTATTGTTTAAGTAATTTATGGTTTAATGAAGGTACTGGGGATTGAACTCAGGAACTTGGGGATGCTAAGCATGTGCTCTACCACTGAGCTGTACTCCAGCCCCCCAAATTTGGCATTCTTGAGCTAAATCCTTAGAATAAAGTTACAGGCTGTGGCTGTGGTCCGTGCAGAACTGAAGCTGCATGCTCTGGTCTCCCGAGCTCTGTGTCTTAACAAGCCGGCTTATTCACCCTGGGGGGTCTAAAGAAAACGACCCCAATATGCACCCCTGCTGCCTTTACGTCCTGTAATCCCAGTGCCGTCAGCATCGGTGGGCTTTGGACGTGGAATATGAGATGCGGGAATCCAGAGGCCAGGCCGGGCAGTGCCAGAGGGAACCTCAGCCTCTTCGTCTCCCTTTTGCCCTTTGCGCAGGAGAGGGACCAGGTGAAGATCTCAGCCACCTCTGCCCTGGGCCACATGCTGCATCAGGTTGACAAATGTAAGCCTGGGCCCTCCATCTGGAGGGAGATCTACACTTTCCTGGTCCCGCTGCTGCTCAGTATTCAGGACAACAACCCCGAGGTGGTCAAGGTACCGGAAGCCTCAGCTGCCCACCTCCTGCCAGCACGCAGCCCCCTTCCTGTGGGCCCTTTCCCACAAGCTGGCCTTGGTGCCATGCTCTGTGTCCTCTTCAGTCCGTCCCCTGGGCTTGCTCCGAGCGCTTCCCTCTCTTGGGTGCCTTCCTTCCTATCTGGTATGCAGCTCTCCCTGAAGCCATGTACGTCCTGTGTCACGGACCAGGCCCCGTGCGTCCCTGATCCCAGCTCCCACCCCCGCCACGCCCTGTGGGGGCCAGCCTCGTGGTCTTCCGCGTAGCCCCTGGCCTCGCTCTGCAGAGTGGCAGGAGTTAGGCTTTGGGGTTCCCCCCCCTCTGTCGCACAGGCCTGTGGAGGGGCCCTGACCGAGTGGACTAAAGTGATTGGCTGGTCATCGCTCACGCGGACATTCCGCCACACCACTCTCAGTGACCACATCCAGGTATTGGAAGAGACATGCAAGTACCTGGTGAGTGAGAGTCTCTGACGGGGCAGGGTCACCACACCCGTGCCAGGCACTCGGCGGCAGGCTGGGTGGGTAAAGAGGGGAGGGCTGACAGAAGATGCCCTCTCCATGCCTCCTTCTTTATCGCTAGCAAACCCTGAGGACCCTGTTTTTCCCCATCTGAGCCTCTTGGCATCCCATTCTCTGCCTTCAGAGGCTCAGAAGGTCCTGTGAGGGGAGCAGATGGCAGTGGGACAGAGGCCTTCCGGCCAGAGTTGGCAAGAGGAGACGTAGGCAGGGGTCATGGTGTTAAGGGTCTGTGGCTCCTAAGAAGTCAAGCCAGGGCAGGAATCAGGAATCCTGGCTGGAAAATGCACATTTAAGGGCTAAGCGGGTTGGTGAGGAACTAATATGAGAAATTCTAATATTATGAATGTTAATACTGCCTCACACATAGCGCACTTCACAGTTTACAAAGCAGTTTACCTCCTTTATCGCGCTAGAGCCTCACAGTGACACGAGGGAGGGAGGCAGGTTTTGGTTTGGCTCTTGGCGACGAGAAGCCTGGAGCCGGAGTGCACACCTCTGTCTCCTGCCCCACATCAGTTGCTTTCTCCTTTATCACGTTGGTACCAAGGAGCAAAATTCTCTTTCTGAACTTCCTGCTGAGTGTGCACTGCTGCGGAGGTGGGGCTGAGTGTGAGGGGCTGGAGACAGAACGATGCTGCTGGGGGATGGCGGAGGGCCGCGGCTGCAGGCGGCCTTGAGTAGAGCGCCCCCACCTGCCCTCCTGGCCAGCACGGCCCCTCTTTGGGTCCACAGGTGGTCACCAGCAGAAGACAGCTCTTGGGGGAGTTACTGTCCCAGAGCTTTGGCTTCCTGAAGAGCCCGCAGCCCTTCCTGAGGACAGCTGCCGTCAGCTTCATAGGTGAGACGCTCCCTGGGCAAGCCCTCCCTCCTCTTCCCTCCTGCTGGAGCGCCGGGCCTGAACCAGGGCACGGCGGCGCCCCCTTTCCTAGCTCGGCCCTGATCGCAGGCTGTCCCACCACCAGGCTCAAGTTCTGTGTTGGGGTGAGGAGGAAGGGGAGGCTCTGTGTGGGTGCCCCTGTGCTCTGCTTTGCCAGGGAGAGAACCGTATACATTTGAAAGGGAAAAAGTATTGCTCCCACTGGAACTCCATGGATTTTGCAAAATATTTTTGTTTTGAACTGTAACAGCAGTGTGTGTTAATGTTAGAAAGCCAAAAAAATTCAGATTGGGGAAAAAGAAGGCAATAAATAAAGCCAGAAATTCTACCATTGGGATTTAACCACGTCTAACACCCTAGAGCTTTTTGCCGAAGAATGTACTACACACGCACACACAGTGCTTTTGAAAACTGCAGTTTGGTGCGTTGCTGTGTCACACATCCAAGCCCTTACATGCTCTTCAGTCCTGTGTGTAATCACTGTGTAATGTCAAGTCCATTTTTATGGTAGATTGATGGAACTTTTTAACCAGCCCTTATTTTGGGGTATTGAGACTGTGGCGTCTTTTGTTCTTATAAGCAGGGACACGGTGGCTAAATCTGCACGTCAGCATGATTATCTTAACATAAATTTCTTAAGTAGACTTGCTGGACCCAAAAGGAATGCAAAATGCCGAGGATCTTGGTCCTCACACTGCCCTCTAAGAAGTGTGACTCGTTGTCTGTTGTCCCCAGTGCTGTGTACAGGGGTCCATTTCGCCAGGTATTTGTCAACCCTGGATAATATTTTAAAAATCATTACCAATTTGATAGGGGACAGAGAGCAGCTTACTGTTGTTTTGATTAATACTTTTTATCAGCAAGGCTTACGCGCTGTTTCCCCCGTTCATCGGCAATGCACATTTTATTCTTGCCAGCTGACCCCTTCATCCATCTTTCCGTTGGTGCAGGAACCCCACGTTTAACATCCTGGGCTCACGCTCTCCTTGTCACTTGCATTTTTCTGGGTCACATCTGCTCTGGGGATGGGCCCTTTACTAGGACACTGACATCTGGGCTGCAAGGCATCTTTAAGATCCATTCCTTGCTAAAACTGTTCACAAAATTCCTTGTTCACTACTGAGCCTGGGGGAAAGGGTGGCCCAAAGGTCCAGGAATCCTGGAAGGACTTCACATGTGTGCTGTCTTTAGAATTAACAGTTAAAAGGATAAGCATGAATCACTTACACGAGGACGATGTGCGGCTGTTCCGGAACGGTGAGTCTGGGCTTGTGCCCGGGGGCCGGTGACACAAGGGATGGGGCAAGGCAGAACAGAGACGGGGAGAGTCCTTAAGGACATGTTTCATTAGTTTAAATAAGGTTTGTTTTTACCATTATGAATGTTGTATATAAAAGCAGAAAACAGAGTAGGAGGAAGAAAGCAAATTACCCATTGTCAGACTGGTCCAATAAAAGGCTGCTAACCGAAATGAGCTGGAACGTTCATCAGGTGCTGCAGGCGCCCGGGCTGCGACGGGGCTCCAGTCAGACGCAGCCCTGGCACCGGGGAGCCTGCATCTTCTGTGTTCTTTTTTATTGCATTAAATTTTATTTTTAAAAATTTTATTTTTTATGGAGGTCCTGGAGGTTGACCTTGTGCATGCTAAGCATGAGCTCTACCACTGAGCTGTACGCCCTACCCCCTAAGATTAATTTATATGTATAGAAGAAACACATGAATACAGTCTCCTAGCAAAAAAGATAGAAACATCAATAAGAGTGAAGTTCTGCTAATGCTTTCTCCTCTCCCCTCTTCCCCTGCCTGTTTGCTATATAGTCCTCTGTTCTTCTTCTGTGAACACAGAGACTATTCACAATACATATTCTCTATGTTATATATACTATTTATATTCTCTATTATATATACGCGTGTGCGCAGTTTCTGCAACTTGCTTTTTTCCCTACTCTGTATGCTGGTACATACAGATCGACTGCATTCCTATGACCCTTGATAGGTTAATCTTTAAATTGTTTCTACTTTTTTGGTAATCAAACAGCATTACGAGGTACCTTCTTATATATGCCTCCTCGTGTGCAGGGTAAGTGCTCCTCTGGGCTAGACACCCAGGAGGGGCTTTCGCCAGGCATCTTGAGTTTAACAGTTTGAAGTGAAACAGTTTAACCTCCCCTCCTGTGCTGACCCCTGCGGCTCGCTCCTAGGCTGGACCTCATTCTTCGGATCTTAGCCCAAATATTACTATCTCACAGAGGCACTCCCTGTCTGGCCTGTAGAAAGGGGTCCTTCCCAGTTATTTACTCTCATTCCTCAGTTAAATTGCCTTCTTTGTATTTAATTTTCGCTTGTTTATTTTGCCTTTCCCCTAGTAGAATGTTAAGTTCTTGAGGGTAAGGAATCCATCTGTCTTGTTCACCACCATGTCCCCAGCACCCAGCACGGTGCCTGGTGATAGTAGGTGTTCAGCAAATAGTTGCTGAATAAGTTAACTGTTATTGCTTATAAAAACTGCAAGCAGCCTAATTCTTCACGAATGGGGATTCATCAAAGCAATTAGGATAGAATCACGTGATGAGCTATTATGTTGTGTGAGGAAAACTTTATGGGAAGAAAAAAAGTTAATCCTATTTTTTTAAAGTGTCTATATTAGGTATTTTTAAAAATACTGCAAGAGGGGAGGGTGTAGCTCAGTGGTAGAGCGTGTGCACAAGGTCCTGGGTTCAGTCCCCAGTCCCTCCATTTAAAATAACTAACTAAATAAATAAACCAACTCCCCCTCCAAAAAAAATACTGCAAGGATAGGTAGGAGAGTGTTCACAGTGTTACTTTGGGGGGTGAGTGATTTTTCTTCCTTTCCACATTTTTCTACAATAAAACAGGCTTGCTTTTCCAATGACAAAGAGTGCTGTAAACGAAGTTATGTCCCAATAACCCGGCTTGCGGGGTGGAAAGTCGCGGGGTGGGGGGGTCAGCGGTCCTTGGAGATGGAGAGTCCGAGCGGACCGCCCTTCTGCCTCCAGCACTTGAGCGTCTGAGGGACGATCCTGCGCAGTCGGTCCAGCGTTCGGTCGACACCGTCCTGAAGAGGCTTGACGGGTGCGCCAGCGCCAGGCACGTCTCTGCGTCCAGGCCGAGCCAGCTGGGCAGCACCTGCTTCAAAGCCCCCGCACGAGGAAGAAGCG